GCAGAATCCGCGACCAGGGAGAAGAGTCGGTTGAAGAAGATTGGAAGAAATTTAAAGTCTATCTACAGAAATACTATAAAATTAATGAATGTTAAATTGAAGTCTGATTGAAAATAACTGGTATTGGCTAAAGTCTTGTGATTAAGAGTATGGAATATTTGATTGATAAGGTTGTAAAAATATTTATATATAAATAGATTAAGTTTTTTTGAGTTAAGATAATGAAAGGAGGGTAAGGATTTGCTGAAAGGAGCTCTTAAATGGAAATACAAGCGGGGAGATGCGGGGAAGTTAAAGAACTAGGTAAAGATAAGAAGGCTAAATGAAAGTATAATATCTTTTAAATTTTTCTGTTCCCTTTTCTTTTTTTTTTTTGTTATGGATGCTGTTGTTTCTGTTTGTTTTTTGTCATGGTTATTGTCGTTTTTTTGTTTGTTGAACTTTTGTAATTTTGTATTCTTTTGGAATTTTTTTTGTAAAACCAATAAATATTTTATAAAAAAAAAAAAAGATCGGAAGCGGAAGCAGGAATGTGGGAAGAGGCAGGCGAAGAGGCAAAAATGAGTTAGGCTGCTGAAGAAGCAAGGGTGTCTCCCCCTCCTGCTGTCACAAAATTCCCTCCACCTTGGTCTCCCAGGACCAGGAGAAGCATTAAGTGGGAGAAGCAAAGGAGAAGCACTGGCACTGTCTCAGATTGCTTGGGTAAAGCCCTGAGAGACTGAGACTTAAGCAGCAGTGGGAAGGAAGGAATCTTCAGTCTCCATAACTGCCTCACTGGCGCAAGACCTACTCCTGACATATTATTACTTTTTGGTTTTATGTTTTTAAGAGTAGATGTTTGCCTGGATATGCAGATGGGGGCAATTCTGAGAGGCAGTGTCTTTAGTAAGTCAACACAGTGATGAATAAGAACTCTCTCTTAGCAAAAGCACAAGGGTTACAATGCACTCGACAGTAACAAGGAAGGAAACCACCAGCAAGGTGCACTGTTACAACCACTTCCTCTACTCCTATAGAGAACAAGAATGAGGTTTCAGTATTCTTCATATACTGTCCTTACTGCTTTCTCACACGTCCTTCCTTTCCTCCTGTTCCCTCAGTCTTTCCTCTCCCCCAATGTTGCACTGTGGTTTAGTGATGCACCACTTTGGAGCCTCAAAGTAGTGAGCATCATTTTGATAAAAAAGAAAGATACAGCAAAGGTAAATACCATCAAGTCCATCGAAACCATCTAAGGTAGCAAAATCACTAAACACCCACCATTCAGGCCAGACAGGCATTTATGAGCCACATCCATACACTTAGCATGGAAGCAGCTGATCAGCATTCCACCCATCACTTGGAAGCCTGGTTAACTTGCATCCCTCCCACCCTGGGGCTCCAATCTCTCACCTAAGAATGTCCATCTTTCCATCCAGCTTCTGTTTGTCAGCCAACCCTTCTTACAACCATCCTGCTCTGTGCTTTTTGTCTTTCATCTCCCTTATTTCCCAGGAAGTCGTCTTCCTACTCATCTTTCTGGCCCAAAGTTTCTGGGCCTCCCTACCTTCATACTGAGGGGCTCATCTTCCAGCATCATAACTTCTATATGCCTTTTGTCTTTGTCCATGGAGTTTTCTTGGCAGGGATACTGGAGTGGCTTGCCGGTTCCTGCTCCAGGTGGATCACGTTTGGTCAAAACTCTCCACTATGACCTGTCCATCTTGGGTGGCCCTGCACGGCATAGCTCATAGCTTCTCTGAGTTATTCAAGCCCCTTCGCCATGGTAAGGCAGTAATCCATGAAGCGACCATGAAGGGATCCATGAGCTGGACCATAAAGAAGGCTGATCGCCGAAGAATTGATGCTTTTGAATTATGGTGCTGGAAGAGACTCTTGAGAGTCCAATGAACTGCAAGAAGATCAAATGCATCCATTCTGAAGGAAATCAGCCCTGAGTGCTCACTGGAAGGACAGATCGTGAAGCTGAGGCTCCAATACTTTGGCCACCACATGAGAAGAGAAGACTCCCTGGAAAAGACCCTGATGTTGGGAAAGATGGAGGGCACAAGGAGAAGGGGACGACAGAGGACGAGATGGTGGGACAGTGTTCTCAAAGCTACCAGCTTGAGTTTGACCAAACTGCAGGAGGCAGTGGAAGACAGAAGTGCCTGGCGTGCTCTGGTCCAGGGGGTCACAAAGAGTCGGACACGACTAAACGACTAAACAACAACAACACCTTCATACTGTTTTCTCCTACCACGGACACATTCACTTTGGGAAGTCTTGCACTTTTCAACAGGCCCTAGTGGAGAGTGTGGCTTCAGGAGGATTGGCTACAGATGTTTTTGTCTTCAAAGAAATGTTGCAAAAATCAATCATGTCCTCATATCCCACCCAGAAATGTCTATAATCCTGTGGCCTGCCTCAAGCATTTATGCATATCACAGGACCAAGGTGTTAAACCCTGTTCCCAGATTGCCCACCTTTTTAAATGTTTAAAAGCAGTCCTACAGGAATGGGGGGGGGGGAGTCTGATTGGGACCACAGCAATGGTGGAAGGAGGGAGACCATCTTCTGACTTGATCCACCCAAAGCTGCAAGGTGGCAAATAACCCCCAGAAAGGGTTAAAATGGGGGGAAGTATTAAACAAACCTTCTACCAGTACCACAATCATAATCAAATTGCCTCTCCCTCTGTTACTGCTTTTAATATTTTACAAAAGCAACTCACATCTAGTTTGGCTTTGAGTGTCTATGAACTGTCAGCACCAGAAATTTATACATTGAATAAGTAAGTTATTTATATGCCCAGAAGTTTTTCATCTACTTATAACCAACCCTGTCCTTAAATAATATATTGCCATGCTCACAGCCATAGCTGCTAAATGGAGATTTTTTCCCCCCAGGATGACTTAAGTATGAGAAGGCAGATAGAAATCTGGAAAATCCCCCTTGGAGCCAGGTAGAGTCACGGGTGCCCAGAGCTGGGTGACTCAGGTGGGTGGAGTCCAGAGCCCAACCATTGTGGGCAAGGAGAGCAGGGAGATCTTCAGACAGCAGTGACTTAAAAAAAAACACAACCCAGAAACATTCCATTTCTAAATACAAGCTCTCTTTGTTTACACGGAAGCTATCATGTCACAAGTTCAAAAGCCTGCTTTTCACAAAAACAATTTTTTTTGTGACGTGCATCCACTCCTGGCTATTGAGCTGAAGATGACCAGCACAAAGCAAAGGGTTCCTGTGACTTTAAACAAGGAAGAAATGTCAGCTTTGCTCCCTACCCTAACACCTGCAAAAATTCAGAATCTTGTACAGCTGTTAAAAGAAAACAAAGCCTGTTCTCTTTTACATCTCCTCCCACCAGCTGAAACCAAAGTTAAATTAAGCCACAGCTACTCAGTCACCCATCCATACCCACAAGAAAACTTTAGACCTACAGGAATGGCAAAGGAGCCTGCTTTCTCTAGCACAGGCCTGCACAGCTTTGGCTCACCAAGCCAAATACAGCCCACCAGACAAGCAACTCCAGCTTTTGCTCTCTGCCGGGGACTATTTAAAAAGGCCACTTATTGGCCACATGACAGGCGGTCTTCCTCTTGCTTGGCTCTTGAGTTGTGCAGACCTGCTCTAGTGCAATGCACAGGTGAGTACTTTCAGCCAAGTCTGTGATCCAGGCCTGGGAAAATGTTTTTTTGGGTTTTTTTGCTCAAGGATCATATTCCCTTGTGACCAGCGTTTAGGAGGCTTCATGTCACTGGCCGGCAAAGCCTAAAGCAAAAGTGAGCAGAGAGAGTCAAATGTAAATTTTAGCCTTTGTACAGTATGCTAAACTTCTTCACACTCAGTCATCTGTTTCCATGCAAGCAAGAAAGAGGCATTATCAGAGTTCAAGCTTACATTCCAGCAAGGCGAAAACATTCAAGGAGGGTGCAAAGCAAGGGCAATTGAAGGTTGTGGCTTGAAAGGATGTGTTGCCTGGAGAAGAGTCCTGAGCACCCGCTAGAGAGAAGCCTGGAGGGCTGCATTTGCCCCCCACCCCAGGCCTATGGTTCCCCATCTTTGCTAAAACCCAACACAAATTTACATGGCAGTAATAAGCCCTGTTAAAAGAGCATGCATACAATCAGCTGGTTTGGCTATAGTCCTATGCAGACTTACTCAGGAGCAACACCTGTTGAAACTCATCCAGGCTGTCAGTGTCTGTGAGCGATGATGGTGGTGTTCAGCTAGTTGCTGGGAATCACAGGAAGCAAGAGGGCTGTTGTGTTCATGTCCTCGCTTGCAGGCTTCCCACAGGTTGGCCACTGTGAGAACAGGATGCTGGACGAGGTGAGCCTTCAGCCTGACCTGGAAGGGCTCTTCAGATTTGGACTGTGATATGCACTGGTGAAAAGACCATGATCCAGTAGTGGGGGGGTGGACTTGCTATCCCGCTTTATCACTACCCTAACATTTTCCTTTCCCTTCCTCCCCCCCAACAAACACTCTGTGAGGTGAGTGGGGCTGAGAGACTTCAGAGAAGTGTGACAAGCCCAAGGTCACCCAGCAGCTGCATGTGGAGGAGCGGAGACGTGAACCCGGTTCACCAGATTACGAGTCTACCGCTCTGAACCCCTATACCATGCTACTACACTACTACACCATGGCGTGAGTGCCAAACCCCATGAAAATCACACTTTGACTCACTGATTGTCTAAAAAAAGAAAGAAATTTCGTAACAGGAAATTGAGATAAAGCAGTGGCGTAGCGTGGGTTGTCAGCACCCGGGGCAAGGCAAGTAATTTGCGCCCTCTAACCCGTGGATTTGCGCCCCCTAACCTGTAGATTTGCGCCCCCTAACCCTAACCTCCAGATGTTGCGCCCGGTGCGGCCGGCCCCCCCTGCACCCCCCACGCTACGCCACTGGATAAAGGAGGGAGAGGAAGTAGGTACTTTACTTTTTTTAAAAGTTCTTACTGAGGTCACAGTTTCAATGCCCTTTCTGTCCTTCCACTTCATACCTGCTGTGTAAGTGGAGGAAAGTCAGAGTGGGACTGATCCGCTCCTGTTTTTCTGATGAGCCTCTTTGGTACTATTCTGGAGGGCAGCGAGGGGAAGGGTGGTTTGGAGGAAACTAGGACAAGTCAGGAGTGGGACTCGTGGATATGGTTAGGTGCCCCTCAGCCGCCCACCCGCCATAATCTGAGCCCTGGGCAGCCGGCGTGCAGGGTGAAAGTTCCTGGACCAAAAAGCAACACACTTTTCGAGCAGGGGACGCGCAGCAATCCACGGTGAAGGTGGAAGCATCTGGGCTCCGCAGGATCGCCTGCCCGGCCGGCGCCAAAGGGAGGGGAAAGCGCGAGAGAAAGCGGCGCCCCCGGAGTGGCGCTCCCGCCCAGGTGCAGCCGGGGAGGCGCGGGGCGGGGAGAGCGAGGGAGGGAGGCTGACAGCCGGCGGGAAGGAAGAGGCAGGCACGGCCGCCCTCCGGCCGGTGGCTTCTGGTTTTGCTTTCGTCGGCAGCTCGGAAACTTCTGGGCCGCCCGGTGGATGGAGGAGCAGCCGGTAAGTTGGAGCGGCCGCGCTGCTTTTCTTCCCTGCCCTCCAGGACCCGGACTCGGGTCCGCCCAAGCGGCCAAACAGCCTTGGCGGGTTCTGCCCACCCCGCCGCCCATCCTCGCATCCGCTTCCCCGCCGTTTGGGCGCTCCCGGCCCTTCCTTGGAGACCCGTCGCCTTGCGCCAAGTGGGGCTTGGCGCAAGTAAATGCGCGTTGCGAGACCCGGACGGGGAGCCCAGCCCTCGGGACCAGCCGGAGCTGGTTTCAAGCCTGCCGTCGCTTCGGGGTCCGGGTCTCGCCTGCTCCCTCCCTCCCCAAGTAGATCCCGATTCCCGGAAGCTCCGGGCGCGCTCAGCGGTTCGGCGGTTCCCCAGCCCCGACCTGGGGGGCTCCGGAGCGGCCGCCGCGTTAGACGTGCCGCGGACCCGGGGCAGACAAAAGAGCCCTTCTCCGGACTTGGCTGCCGCAAGAGGTGGCGGAGGTGGCTTTAAGACGGGATCGGAAAACTCCTGGCTTCATCATTCCACCCGCAACTATTAGCCACGCGGAAGCCGCGTGTTGACGCCGGGCTCGGGGGGAGCCGGGAGGGAGGCTGGGTCCTTCGTCTCCGCCCCTGGGCTTCTGCCTTAGTTTTGATCTAGACCTGGGCAAGAGCACACTTCAAGAAATATTGAGAAGAGCTGGAGACTCGTCCAGGGAGGGAAGGTAGGAAGAACGCTCCGGGTTATATTCCTTGTGGGGGAGAAAATGGGGCGCACAAGGCAAAACGACGTGCCCAAGTCTGCTTAGCCAGGCAGTGCCAGCCCCACAAACAACTCGTAAGAGTCCCCCAGTTCTCATTGCCCTGAGACAATGTGGAATCTGTTCAGCTCGGAGACTGTAGTATCATTGCTAGAGTGAGAACAGCGCTTTTTTAAAAAAGAAAAGTGTTTTGCTGGGTATCATTTTGGGGAAGTGGGACTCGTAGTGCTATAGGGCAGGCAGGATTACATATGTCCTGTGAGGCTGTTTTAACACAGAGGTGTAAACTGAAAGTAACCCAGATTTCTTTCTTTTTAAAAAAAAACAACCACCATATTTTACCTATAAAAATATACAGTGGTATCTCGGGTTAAGTACTTAATTCGTTCCAGAGGTCCGTTCTTAACCTGAAACTGTTCTTAACCTGAAGCACCACTTTAGCTAATGGGACCTCCCGCTGCTGCCACGCCGCCGGAGCACAATTTCTGTTCTCATCCTGATGCAAAGTTCTTAACCTGAGGTACTATTTCTGGGTTAGTGGAGTCTGTAACCTGAAGCGTATGTAACCCGAGGTACCACTGTATAATGAGAAAGAGGTTATGTGCCTTGTTCTCTCCCATGATAAGAAGGTGGCCACAGGCTTTAATGCCAGGGGTTTCAAATAGTGAGCATGATGGCCCAGAATTTTTCACAAGGGAAAATGTTGTTGTGGAAGGTAGATGATGCTCTTGCTGTGGTGTGTTCATGAAACAAAAAGGACCAGACTTCACTAGCAAAACGACACATATTTCACTTGCATTGGCTTCCTAGAATTCCACACTGCTTTTCCACCGCTGGTGCTCAGATAGGTTATTCATCCCCAACATGCCCAAAACTTGCATACCTCAGTATTCGCTCACACTTTGGCACAGGAACAGTGCAAGAAATGAAGAAACGCATGACTTAACCATAGGGATGGGCGACTGGAAGTCACAGGGGCCAAGTCTGGATCCCAGAGATTGTCTCTTTTATTACTCACCTGCAGTCTATAGGCACATTAGGCCAATTTCTCCCAAGCTGAGACACAAGCCAGAGGCTCTTTAACCCCTCCCTATCCAGTGTGAACAGCAAAGGAGGCCAGTTTGGCAGAGCTTCCCTTACTGGGCACCTGTCCTCCAGCTAAGGTGCAGTGAATGATATTGAGCAAGTGGCAGCCAAGCTGCATGTGAGTGACGCAAGGAATCTGTGGCTTCCTCTTCGGATATCTATTCTGAAATCAGAATCAGGTCTGATTTTGGTTGGGGTAGCCACCTTTTCCCTTGCATAATTTTCCGGATGGAAATAGTATCGTCCTGCAGCCATCCATTTGCGAACTTCTGAAGTTGCTAGTAGCTTCAGTAGAGGGGGAAAGACAGACAAAATGCAGGTGCCGTTTACCCACTGGTGGAGCTAAGAACAGCTTCATATGCGGGTGTTTGATTGGGGCAGGTAAAGAATGTGCACTACCTCCAAGCAATTCAGGAACTTGCAGGTGGAACGCTGGGAGTTGCAGTCATGGATAACCTATGTCCTGTGTAGTCTGGCCCTGAGGTGCTTCAAGAAAGGGTCCTTTTCACACTAACAGGGTAGGGGGCTAAAAGGTCCCTTGCCTTTGTTTTGCCTTTGTCAGACAATACTGTTGGCTCTTCAGCTCTTGCTCGGGGTTAGGGGGTGATCGTTGTGACTAGCCTGGGCCCCCTGGAACACTTGTGGTGAGTTCCAGATTTATATGTACAGGGAGGGGGGAAAGTATTTGATCCCCTGCTAAATTTGCCCGTTTGCCCTCTGACGAAGAAATGACCAGTCCATAATTGTAATGGTAGGTTTATTGTAGCTGTGAGAGACAGAATAACAGCAGGAAAACCCCCAGAAACCCAGAAGACAAAAGCCAGAGATTAATGTGCATTATAATGAGTGAAATAAGTATTTGATCCCTTTGCAAAAGATGACTTAGTACACATCTCAGGAGGTATTTTGTCCCACTCCTCTTTGCAGATCCTCTCCAAGTCAGTAAGATTTCAAGGCTGATGTGTAGCTACTCGAACCTTCAGCTCCCTCCACAGATTTTCGATGGGATTAAGGTCTGGAGACTGGCTAGGCCACTCCAGGACCTTAATGTGCTTCTTCTTGAGCCACTCCTTTGTTGCCTTGGCTGTGTGTTTTGGGTTATTGTCGTGCTGGAATACCCATCCTCGACCCATTTTCAATGCCCTGGCTGAGGGAAGGAGGTGCTCACCCAAGATTTGACGATACATGGTCCCATCCATCGTCCCTTCGATGCGGTGAAGGTGTCCTGTCCCCATAGCAGAAAAACGCCCCCAAAGCATAATATGTCCCCCTCCATGTTGGACAGTGGAGATGGTGTTCTTGTGGTTATAGACAGCATTCCTCCTCCAAACGCGGCAAGTTGAGTTGATGCCAAAGAGCTCGATTTTGGTCTCATCTAACCACAACACTTTCACCCAGTTCTCCTCTGGGTCATTCAGATGTGCATTGACAAAGTGCAGACGGGCCTGTACATGTGCTGTCTTGAGCAAGGGGACCTTGCAGGCTCTGCAAGATCTCAGTCCTTCACAGCGTAGTGTGTTACCAACTGTTTTCATGGTGATTATGGTCTCAGCTTCCCTGAGATCATCGACAAGTTCTCAGCTGCTTCATCACCATTCTCCTGATCATTGCAACTCCACAAGATGAGATCTTGCATGGAGCCCCAGACCGAGGGAGGTTGACAGTTATTTTGTGTTTCTTCCATTTGAAAATTATTGCACCAATTATTTGTCACCTCACCAAGCTGCTTGGCAATAGTCTTGTAACCCAGTCCAGCCTTGTGCTGGTCTACAATCTTGTCCCTGACATCCTTGGACAGCTCTTTGGTCTTGGTCATGGTGGCTACTTTGGAATCTGCTGGATTGATTGCTTCTGTTGACAGGTGTCTTTTGTACAGGTACTGTAATGAGCTGGGATTACAGGTAAGACCTCTCCCTTACAGGACGTGCTTCCAATCTCAGCTCATTACATACAGTGAAGATACTAGGTAGCCTGACATCTGGCTGGTTTATAGGGGATCAAATACTTATTCCACTCATTATAATGCACATCAATCTCTGACCTTTGTCTTCTGGGTTTCTGGGGGTTTTTCCTGTTGTTATTCTGTCTCTCACAGCTACAATAAACCTACCATTACAATTATGGACTGGTCATTTCTTCGTCAGAGGGCAAACGGGCAAATTTAGCAGGGGATCAAATACTTTTTCCCCTCGCTGTATGCCTCTCTAAGCAGGAGCCCTCCTAAGGCAGAGGATGGGGGGCATCAGAAGGCCCTGTTGTGGAGGCTGAGCCAGAGGGAAAGGGGAAGGAGCCAAAAACTGGATTCTCTGAGCGGCCAAGTACTTGTCAGAGCTTCACCATGTTGTTTATGAACACTGTCACATTTCTCCCTGGAGTTTAGAACAGGGGTCAGAGCAAAGAGCTCCGCTGAAGAATGTTGCTGTCTATCCTCAGGAATTAGAAGCACGCTTGCCAAAAAGTTGCTTTAATTTCCAAATCTTTTAGAAGGGGTGGGGCGTACAGATCCTGGGGGTTAGTTTAGTGATTTTCTCTGGCCTCTGCACTTGCCTTTAACGCCCCCGCCCCTCAGACAGTTGACTTGAGAGCAATGGTGCATTTAGAAAACCTCTCTTTTGCATGTTCCTGTGGTCACATTGGCGGAAGGCGCACCTGCTAAGGGTAGGAGGCCCAGGTGGGCAAGGCAAGCCACAGGGCCTGGCAGGATGGGTGAGGAGGGGCGGTCTCAAGAGACTTGCAGCATCCACCAAGGTGGAGTACCAAAACCCATCAGGCATGTCCAGTAAGTTAAATGCAAATCTTGGCCACGTGAGTAGGAGAAAAAGGGTCCAGCTCTCAGGGCAACAGCCAACTTTATTAGTACCATTAAGTGACTGCTCCTTAAATTCTCTGCACTGCACTGAAATTCTGCATTTCAAAGGGAGCTACATTGCCTACAAAATACATCTTTAGTTGCATCCCTTACAGTGCAATGTTATACACGTTTGGTGAGTTCCATTGAGTTAAATGGAGCTTACTCCCAGGTAAGTGATTATAGGATTTCAGCTTAAGTCTTTATTAATTCAGTGAATTGTTGTAGGGTATTAGATGATAGGCAGAAAAGAAGGTGCCTTGAATAATGGCTGTCAAATTACCACAGTTTGTGTGTATTCTGTGAGGGACAAAAGCGAAAGCAAATTCAGTGAGCACAACACATTCTGCCTCTGTTTTGTTTTGTAAAATGTGTGCGTCTGTGATTCAGATTTTCATACAATTTTTTACCAAGGAAAGAAAAACTAGACAAATGGATGAAAGTGAAACTCGAGGGACTCAAAGGCTGGAATTAGTAGCCATGGAGGAATCAGACACAGCAGGAAACACTCATGAGCAGCTCAGATGGTTATGGGAAGGATTTTGACCAAGCCACTGTTGATGCTCAAAAAGAGCTTTTGCCTGTATCTTGGTTCACATGGAGATAAGTCAGTATCACCCCTGAGTCAGAAGCGTGATTGTTTCTCATTAGTAGCTCTGTGGCACATTTTTCTTACCTTACCTAGAGAATCCTTTCCACGTTGACCTGCCTATCAAGGAACCACTTACACATGTGCCATGAAATCATAGCTGTCAAGTTTTCCCTTTTCTTGCGAGGAATCCTATTCAGAATAAGGGAATTTCCCTTTAAAAAAGGGAAACGTTGACAGCTATGCATGAAATCCCTGCATGTTACTGAGGATTCTGTGGCCTGTTCCACGGTTTTACCATCAGTTTGCCCCTGTGAAGTAAATTCACAACTCACCTGTAGCTGCCTATTGCGGTTGGGGACGATTATTAGCGATGGACAAGATGCCGTTCAGGGATCAGGCCTCCCATCTTGTCAATGAGCTCTTAATAATTGTCCGAACAAGCCTAGGGCTCCCAGGAAAGCCTTCTGTCTCAATCATCCAAATGATTAGGTGAGAATCTCGGCATTTGGTTTCCTAAAAATACATTTCCTGTTCTTAATGTCTGAGAAACTAAAGAAACATGAGCATATATACAGGGATTGGAATAAAGGGGGTGGGAATAAAACCTCCTGTGATTTATATGATGAAACTGTGTGGCTTCGTCGTTCGTACTTCTGTATGCAGCCAGTTCAGATGCTGCAATAGACTCAAGTCTGCTGCAGTAGCATCTGTGGTTAAAGTTATTAAAATTTTCTCAGTAAAAAAAAAAATTAAAAATGTTCAGTAGTACCTTAGAGACCAACTAAGTTTGTTCTGGGTATAAGCTTTCGTATGCATGCACACTTCTTCAGATACTTCAGAAAGCTTTTACTGTACCCAGAACAAACTTTTTTTTAAAAAAAATTCCCACTGCGTCAGACCAACACAGCTACCTACCTAAATTTTTCTCAGATAAACGTTCTATTTTCTGCACTTTGACCTTGAGCATATTTACTTAGAAATGAGCCCTTTGATTTTACACTGGGCTTGCTCCCTAATAACTATGTTTAGGATTAAGAGAATGCAATGGGGAATGCTGTGTGTGCGTGTGCGTGTGTGTGTGTGTGTGCATGCGCAAGACACCTGCCTTCCTGCTGCAATGCCTGTTGTTCCAGGGAGGGCGAGCATCTCTCACCAGGCAGAGCCAGACACATTTTCCTCCCAACATCAGAGGTTTGTCATTGCAGCCAAACTACTGTGCTATGAAGACCCTTATCCACAAGTGTTGTTTTTTCCTCTTGCCAGAAATTTTTCCTCTTGCAAGCAGAAATTCAGTTTGTATTGCTGTCTTTCTGCTAAGTAGATGCAGTGATGGGGAGAAAGGATACATGTTGGAATTGTCTTGCTTCTTTCGCAAAGAAAAAAGTGGTGACCATATGCTTAATTCTAGAAAGCAAAGGATTTGTTTTTCTCTCTAGAGGTTTAGCATCCCAGGGATCTGAACTCCCAAGAAAAGGAGCCCCGCTACTAGCCATCTCGGATCCCAGTCTGACACACACATACCCCTGTCACACATCAAAATACAGACTGGCCAGTCACCTTGGTTGGCCTACTGGCACCCCTTGTTGTTTGTTAACCTCACAGGACCCAAAAACTATGGTAAATGGAATGAGTCTGTGATATTTGCAAGCCGGACATGAACCCTTTAAACAAACATACACACACACACACAGACAGACATATAGTCTTGCTGCCCAAACATCACTTCTTGATCTCAGACATTCTGCTGGCAACATTGCTTCATATAACAAACATCTCCAGGAAGGGTGGAGGTTTCACAATTTTACAACAATTCTTAATCATTTTCGCATTCTTTAACTTTTTTGTATTGGAAAGTGCATGTAAACCTTTATAGGCAAAAAATATGCTGTACTGGGGCCAGCTCTGTTGGAGGACAGAGCAGTCTGTGCAACAGACACACACACACACACACACACACACACACACACACACACACTGTAAAGGGAAGATTCAGTCTCCAGTTCAGCTTCTGGATTTGGAGTGGGGGAAGTGCCAGCTTTTCCTTTGCCTCAGGCAGCAAAATGTCTTGGGTGAGCCTTCTTCACATTGTTCTCTCCACTTGCTATAGTGTGTGTTCTATCTGTAGCATTTGACCTGTACCATAGAAGATGTTGGACACAGAAATTTACACTGTACTCCTATGCAAACTAACCCAGGAGTAAGTCCAGCTGAATTTACTGGTGCTTACTTCTGAGTAGACATGCATAGGATTGTATTGTCGGGAGAAGAAGCTTTTCCTAGCATGAATGTAAATGGTGGGGGAAGCTTTATCTGTCAGACTTACATTTGCCAACTGCTGGTAAAGGAACAATGGAGAAAAAAAGGCACCTCTGGAGGAGTTTTGTAAAAGAAAGTGGCTTGAGAGAGATTTTGCTTTCCACAGGGAACACACACATCTTCTTCTCCACTGACCAAACAGGTTTTGCAGGATTTTGAAAGAAAAAAAATAAAACCTACAAAACATGTTTACCAGAATCAAAAGTGTAAGAGGTGTGAGTACCACGAGCGGCAATTCCTCTTTCAAACCATTTTCAACTCACTGGAAACATGCCTTCATGTTTTTAAGATATTCCCTCATTATTATGAACTTTATCTTGCATGCAAAGAAGCCAAAGAAGGGAAAGCACCAATCACAGGAAAATAAAAGATATAAATAATTAAAAGGGGAGAGAGAGAACATTCTAAATGTGCACAAAAATAAAGATTTTATTGGCCCAATGTATTTTGAACTTATTTTTCCCCGCACACTTTCTGTGCCCCATCTCCTCCCTGTTTCTCCATGTGTAGTATAATGTGACCTAGCAACTCTTGCACCATTAATCTCTAGTCATGCCTACCAACCCACAGAATGGGAGTAAAAAGTGTGAAGACTGCAGCTTTGATGTATTTCTGTGCTCTGCCACGCAGACTGGAGTTGAGTGTTAAAAGAGGAAACCTTCAGAGCATTGCACGCCCTTCGCCTTTTCCTGTAACACACCCGGCTAAAAACCATTCAGAGGGTTGCACACTGTATGGATTGATTCTCTCCCCCCCCCCGCCAATACCCTCAAAAAAACAAATGAAAGAGCCTTTCAGGGTTAGAAGGCAAAATAAATTGGAAACAGACTGACGAAAGCTACCATTTGCTAGCATACATGTCTGGAGCAGGTTGGTTTATAGAGACATGGTGCACCACACAGCCCTAAAAATCAAGGATAGCCAATGTTGTATCCTGTAGATATGTTGAACTCCAACTCCCATCAGCCGCTGGCAGTATGGCAGGAATGATGGGAATTGTAGTCCAAAGCAACTGGAGGGCACTGCATTTGCTACCCTTCTACAGATAAGTGGTAAGGAAACCTGCCCCCAAAGAGCTGACAGTTCAAACAGAAAAAGGCAAACTGGATGTTTAAAGTGATCTGTTGATTTTCTGCAACATCTTTCCCCTTACTTTCCATGCACAAGTTACAATTTGCATAAATGAATGAATGAATAAAATATGTAACTAGAACAATGGGCAATTAATTCCTCCTGCTAATCCTTTCCATCGGTAAAGTGGTCAGGGAAGGACAGTTGTTCTGAGTTATGTGCTTATATAGGTACTCACTGAGAGTTTCAGAAAAGGTGTGCTGGGTTGCTGTCCCATCAATTAACAGGTGTGCATTGTTACCCTTGGTGCTGAGAGGGGCTATCAAGTGTTGCTCATACTATGGATAATTATGGAAGCCTCCCCTGCCAAATTTCTTCCAATATTTTGGGATTCTGAATTACAGTGGTACCTTGGGTTAAGAACTTAATTCGTCCTGGAGGTCCGTTCTTAACCTGAAACTGTGCTTAACCTGAAGACCACTTTAGCTAATGGGGCCTCCCGCTGCTGCCGCCGCACGATTTCTGTTCTCATCCTGAAGCAAAGTACTTAACCCGAGGTACTATTTCTGGGTTAGCAGAGTCTGTAACCTGAAGTGTCTGTAACCCGAGGTACCACTGTATTGGAATGTTTTACCAGCAGCACTGATGACATAGCAACGCACATTTGCACACTTTTGGAAAGGCAGCATAAAAAATGAAATGGAAGATGGAGCAAGCTTGTTTTCTCCTGCTCTGGAGGGTAGGACTCGAACCAATGGCTTCAAGTTACAAGAAAGGAGATTCTGAAGAGGTGAGAGTTGTTCAGCAGTAGAACTTTCTCCCTCCAAAGGTGGTGGACTCTCCTTCCTTGGAGGTTTTTAAGCAGTGGCTGGATGGATAGCCATCTGTCATGGATGCTTTTCTTGAGATTCCTGCATTGCAGGGGTTGGACTAGATGACCCTTGGGGTCTCTTCCTGCTCTATGATTCTATTAAATAACTCATTTGATGGTAGGGCTTTTGGTTGGTTGGTTTGGCTTCCTCCTGCTACAATGCTAGTATACTTCAATAGAAAGAAAATGTGATAAAAATCAATATATTACTATAATTAACAACAATAATGCAAACCTTAAAGGATTAAGCATTTCTTCTGGAAGAGAAAAAGTGGTGTCATTTTCTTTTCTTTTCCTGAGTACATGCAAAATCAATAATGAACATCCTGAAATTCTCCTTTCTTATTTTTTTACATCATAAATGCCAGAAGGCATACTCTTGCCTTTTCTTTTTTATGTTGTTCAGGAGGCTGTTCTTGCTCCTCTGCCTGGAACAATACAGCCTTGTTTTCGTCCAGGAGCTTTCAACTGTTTCAGACGTTCTCTTCCACCAACAGGACTCTGCTTGTGTTCACCCTTTTCGGAGGTCTAGTGGGATTGTCTCCTCTTGTCCTTCTCTTCCTCTCTTTTACAAAATAATAATTTCCTGCACACTTGGGGAGTCTTCCACCTTGTCTGATGATGATCCGACTCCACTGCCACACTAGTTGGCACAAGAAACACCATGTTTGCTATTAGAACACGTTGGCAGGATTGGTAATATAAACTGTATATGTTCGTTGGAATTCCTCACTTTCTTGTTGAGTCTGCTCTCTCTCTGTGCAAACAGTTTGATGCCAAGGAGGCTATTCAAAGCTCTCTGTGCCCCTTTAGATCTGGAATTTCATCTTGCAAGTTTCCAGTTTCTACCATCTCTTTTGAAAAATTCCCAGTGAGAATTATGCGCCACTCCTACCTATTCTGTTTCTTTTTCCTCATCAAACATGCTGTGCCTGTACAGTTCGGCAGATCAAGAAAGAAGAGGCACATGGCAGGGATTTCATAGAACTATGCATTTTATTCTGTTTTATTTATTGCTGCAGCAATTAGGCCAAATCTGAGCAGCATTCTGCAAATCAGACTATTTCTAGCAGAATGGAAGAGATGAAAGAATTAAAGAAGTGAACAAGGATAAAGCTCAGACACCAGACTAAGCCAGGATCTCCATTCAACCATCACCTTTTTAACACTATGAATTGTACCCCTCACCAGCTCTTTGCAATCTAATATTTATAGTTGATTGATATTAAAATGGGCCCTGGTGCCACGCACTGCTGTGCTTTGTTAAACATTAACTGAAGGGAAATCAGAAGGAAAAGCTAACATAATTGTTCTTCATATTCTCTTGGAAGGTTTTTGAAAAATCCCCCTTCCAAGCGACAGTTGCAGTAGCTCAGCTGGTTAGACCGTGGTGCTGATAACACCAAGGTCGCAGGTCCAGTCCCCATATGGGACAATTGCACATTCCTGCGTTGCAGGGGGTTGGACTAGATGACCCTCAGGTTCCCTTCCAACTCTAAAGTTCTATGATTCTCTGTCCCCTGTTGACAAGAGAAAGGGAAGCCTCGTAAACCTGAAGTAAGGGCTGGGATGCATGTGTTTGAGGGCTGACACCTTCTGATGGCGCTGAAGAGTCTATTTAGGTCAGAGGAGAAGGAGGCTGTTGTGCTCCAGGGAAAGAAGACATTAAGGAGAGAATGGGGTTCCGTTCTTGGCTATGCCTGAAACTTCCTGAGCATCCTCAGGCAAGTCGCATGGCTCTCTGCCAGGGTGTGATGAGGCTCCCTTTGTCCATTTAGATATTCATGCAGCTCTCCATGACCTCAAGTAACATCAGATTGCTTCCAATTGCAGAACAGGGAGATAACATCTTATAAGGCCAACCAATAAATAAATCGGGCTCTCAGCTGACGCTGATGTGGTTTCGATTAGTTTGGTGATACAGTATAATCCACCAACTAAAGCTGTTGTAAGAAGGATTGAAATAAGAAAACGTTGGCTCCAAGCAACAGAAATTTAGTTATGCCTAAATCCTGTTGCTGTCAGTGGGGCATTACCGGGCCGGCCCAACAATGAGGCAAGGTGAGGCAACAGCTTCAGGCAGCAGAATCCCAATGTAGATATTTGTTCTTCTCGCCCCTTCTTGTGCCTAATGTAGATCTTCAGAGTGGGGTAGGAGAACTAAAAATAACGCCAACATATTTCACATCCGGCAACAAATGTGCCCCTTGGGTTTCAGGTGGTACATGGAAAGATGAGTCTAAAAATCCCAGGACACAAATTTTCACAATCCTCTATGCTGGCTCATTTACTGGAAGCAATGTACCGTATTTAGCATTAACTCTGCAAATGTGTGCTCAATTCTGACCAAACTAAGCCTTCTGATGCATATATATATTATCATAATGGAGTATACACTTGCAAAGTTTATGCTAAATACAGGGCGTGAAATTTTTTGTCCCGGGCTTTTTAAAGTCATCTACCCATGTACTATCGGAAACCCAAGGGGCACATTGGTTGCCAGATGTGGGGGGAAAATTGAGCTCTTCTATCCGACACCATTTTGTCATTTGCCTCAGGTGCCAAAATATCTTGGTCTGGCCCATGACTAACCTGAGTCCCATTGGTGTCAGCGGGGCCTAAGGGAACCAATGGCCAGAACCACTGAGCCTTGAGTTTAGTCCTGGAGATTGAGGGGTATAGGAGAAAATAGTAGAAAAATGATACCGGAGAAAAGTAGTATCAGAACTAAATTACTATAATCATTAAAATGAAAGTCAGTACAATTCAATATAAAGATATAATTAAGTTGCTTAACAGTCTAGACCAGTCATACAACATAATATAATTTCTTAACAGAGCTTCGTAGAAGATTAGTCATACAAGCATGGTTTGTTGGTGTGCATATTTCCTGTTTTCCATCAACAAAGAAGCCACACAGATCACATAACTTCAGAAATGACCAGCATTTCTTAACCCAACAGACAGGTTTCCCCCTCAACAAAGTTCTTAAAACACTGTTGTAGTGGAAATGCAGAAGAATTGTAATTGAGGAGCTGTAGATGGCCTTGTGCAATTAAGCCTTCCAAAGCTGACTCCTGCTCCTATTCTTGGAGATGGCCCAGCGGTGGATTGATTGTTTTGCAGACTTAGATCATGGGACACTCTCTCTCTCTCTCTCTCCCAGGCCAGGTGACGGTAGCTGAGCAATTAAGCCTCACCTCTGGAGCAGATGAAAACCAGAGGGCTTGAGCCCCAGACCCTCTTGGGGTGTCAACACTGTGAGCCCCTCCATTGTAGGCTCGGGTTGCATATATGATGTGTAAATAAACCTCAACACCACAGTCTCTACTGTTTCTCATTCTGAGAAAACCAGACCCTGGGTAAGTGCCTGGAACCCCTGGAATCTCTTACTGCCTGGAGGTTAGGGTGGCATGCAACAATATTTTGGCTGAAATGATAGTAACCAGTTTCTTAAATTTGCATCCATACAGATAGATTAGCATATGCACGTTTTACGCAACTATGTGTGGTCTTTTGCGGTGTTGCGGCTCCTCTTTTTCTCTTACTACTCCAAGCCTGGAATAGGCCTTCTGCATTGTGGCACAGCTTTAAGATAATAAAAGCAAGCAAGCCGAAGGCAATGAAAGCATAGAGGAATAGAACAGACAGGCAAGTTAATCATCTCTGCAAGAAGGTTTTTATTTAGCTGACACAAACAAAAGTCAGAAGCTGAATCCTATGGAAGTAATTCTGTAGCAACTTATCTTGCAGTGGTTTATCTCTGCCATAACAGTTAAGATTTGATTGACTGCAGTTCAATCTTAAATGAGAAACCCAAATTAAAGCTAATTTTAAAAGGGCCAAAGCACCTTTAAATTGAGAAGAGCCCCAAGCAAACTTAGCAACAGGAAAAGTTACTTTAGGCTGCAATTCTATGCATACTTACCTGGGAGTAAGCTTCATTGAACTCTGTGTGACTTAGTTCTAAGTAGACATCTAGAAGAGTGTACCTTCAGTACGTCTTGTGTGAATTAACTTTACTGGCTAAGGCTTCAGTTTCTTTAAAGTTCTATTTTAAGTTCAGTATAAAACCAGGCAGTAGGTTCAGCAATGTGCTAATTTCACCAAGCTAAGCTGCCAAGGAAGTCCCACGTGGTCACATTTGACTTCTAAAGAAAACATCTAAAAATTAGGGGAAAGTTTAAAAAGGAAGTGGAGAGTCAAGAGGGTCATATCTCTCCAAAACAGTGATTGCTTAAAACAAAAATAGTGGAAACTCAGCTTATTTACCCACTTGTGTATTGGCTGTGCTTGACTGCTTTACACCAAAGCAAAGCATTGGGTTGGACATGATGCTCATGTACCTTGTATGGTGTGGTGCATCCTGGTGGTGTGGATGTTTCATTTTGAGAAGCTCGACACTTACTTTAGATATATTGCTCAGGTGTTGTTTCTGAATTGTTTGGCACAAGAAACATTTGCATTGAAATTTTGTCTCTGTTCATCCTTTTACCACCTTATCTATCTTAGACTAGCCTTCCATGAAGGTATTGCTGTGTAGGCAGTCTTGCCGTAGTGCAAATGTGCATGTATTTACATACATACTGCTGGAATCAGATAGGAAAAGCCTATGCCTAATAAAGGATTATATTTAAAAAATACTTGTTCAATAGGAGGATGCTAAGCACCTAGCTGCCTAATTTAAGGTTACCAGATTTTTTTCAATGAATCCAGGGACACTTTTCAACTTCAGTGGATTTTGTATGGGGACTGATTTGTAAATCCGGGGACTGTCCCTGGGAAACGGGGACGTCTGGTAACCTTAGCCTAATTCCTCCCTCCCTCTTTGCTACTGCAGCTGCAGAATGAACTCTGCTAACAGTCCTTTCAGAGAACCCGACATGTTGGCAGTGTGATCTGTGGTAGGAAGTGGGGGAGGAGACAGAAAGCCATGACACACACACACCCCGCACCCAAAGCACCCACATGCCTAGTGTTTGTACTGGAGATGAGAATCAGACCTATCTATTCACGGCCTATTCCATTGTAGAAATTCATTGATATGCTGTGGCTATAGCAAAAACCAGACGTGTGTTTAGAAACAGGAGTCATATGAAAAGTTGCAAAACTTCACAAGCTTTGATGATAAGAGCTGGGGCAACAGTTGTCCTGGAAGCCCAAGAGAAAGTGACTAAGCCTGAGCCAAGGGTCACAGGAAGTGCAAATAAAATACCAAAGAGATTTGCCCCCTTGACATCCTCTGATGTCATCTGTTGGTGCTCCTGCTGCTGTTTTCCCCTAGGGCTGTTCCTCACAGCATTGTCAGGCTCTGTGTGGCCCATGATAGCCTTCAACAGCAAGTCAGAATCAGTCTGGGAGGTGTGGGGGGTGCAGATGTATATAATTTGAACACTGAACTTTTTGATGAGCACCCATTGCAGATTTTGCTTAAATGTACAATCTTCTCTTCTAGATCAAACTTGGTTCTGTATGTTTACTGCAGAAGACACCTGTGCACTGCGCTGATTGGCTTGGAAGCCTCTGTTGGCACCCCTCCTTCACCCCTCCACTCCTCCCTGAAGCAATTTCTCAAGGTATTTGGATTTTATACTGCCTTTTAAAGGGAAAGGGAAAGAGAAAAAGAGGGAGGCCCAAATACACAAGTCCATTCAGCCCTTTGAAAACAAAACAAGTCACACTGCCTGCCTGAATCAGGATTTGATCCATCAGTTTGATTCATGGTGAATTTGAAAGGTGTGAGAAGCTAGCTTCAAAATGGGGGGGTTAACTACAGTTATACCTACATGTGGTAAATCACCACCCTAAAAATATAAAGCAGTATAGAACTGGAATGAACAATAAAATAATAATGATGAAAAGCAGGTGGCATTTCACCTTTTGTGAGAGGAGGTGAAACCTGCCAGCACTCCTGCTACTTCCAAATGCCTTTTTTAAAATGTCACATCACAAGAGCTGTTGTAATATTGTTGGGACATTGACAGTGGGGCATAGCTGTCTCCAGTGGCAGTTGCCATTTTCCCACCCCAGCTGTTGCTTGGACAATAGCATAGTGCCATTCCAGATTATTGGGGGGGTGACTCCCCTCACCTCCCCCCCCCCTCCTGAAATTTGGCTCCTACTTTTGAAAAGCAAAAGGAAAGGGGGAAGGAGTGTCATCCCTCCTGTTTAGGCCAGGCTTCTGCCAGTTCCAAAGTTCAGCCCCAGCTTATACAAATCTTCAGTTACTGGCCTGCACAAAATGCCTGCTTTAAACCTTTGCCCCCCACCCAGATGTCATTCAGCTACAGCTCCCGCCCTCCCTAGTTATGGGTCAAGGGTTAATGGGAGTCCAACATCTGAAGGCTCCACTGGGTGATCTTGAGTCAGTCACTGTCTCCCAGCCAACCTACCTCACAGGGTTGTTGTGAGAATAAAATGAAAGCGGGAGAGCCATATATGCCAGCTTGACTCTCTTAAAGCTGTGGTGTCATAATAGCCTTACCAGCAGAGGTCTTTGGCTAATATCTGAAGGGGATACCCGACGGCAGCCTTGCTTTACCTTTCATCTCCCACCTGCGCAGGGGCTGGTGAGAGGAATCTGCACACGAGACCCATGTGCTCTGGGCAGCAGACGGAGACCCAGCAGGCGAGGGGAGTGGTCTAACATCCCACCCGCCCTTCCTCCAGCCATGGAGCAGATCAGTCAGTTTTTCCACTCGATCTGGACTTTCATCCTCTCCAAACACCAGGAGGGGGTCTACAACACCATCTGCCTGGCTGTGCTTCTGGGGCTCCCCACCCTTGTGCTCCTGGTCGGCATCTTTGTCTGTTGCCACTGCTGTTTCTGTGGCGGTCGGAGGAAGGACAGCAGTAGCTACAGCACGAGTGAGAAGAGAAGGAAGAAGATGAGGAGGAGGAAGAAGGAAGAGGACCTGTGGATTTCTGCACAGCCCAAAGCGCTCATGCTGGAAAAGAGGCCATCGCTGCTGGCCTAGAGAAAGGGAGGGATGGACAGGAGCTTGTGTGTGTGTACACACACACACACACACACACACACACACACATGCCTTCTGTTAAATGTCTCACATTGCACTTTGGGCCACATAGCCTAAGACTGAGGACAAATCATGCTGGGTCCCTCCCCTTTAAGCACTGACCTTCAGCTGTTTCCTCCCTTTTCCTTTTTATAAAGGTGTTTGGATTGAAGAAGCTATCTTGGCCCATCACCGGGATGATCTGGGGAGTCTTCAGTTGGGCACACATTTACATGCACACTGATGATCACAAACAGGTGGCATGAGCTAACAGCCATGCCAGCAGACATACTAGTCCAACGTGTACATAACGACTTGCTTGAACAGACTTGCCAGCCCTTTTAGCAGTTAAGGAACAGGTATCTGTGACTCTTAAACAAGCCTTGGACTGGCACTAGCAAACTATGCCCTGACAAACTACCACATGTACCAGCGCTGTCACCATATGCATACCCACAGGGACAGAGGACTTCTTCGATAGGTTTTATATGGGCACTGGCCTAGATGGCTTTAAGAGGGGATTAGTGGAGCGGGACAAGGCCATCACTGGGGACCCAGGTTTAAGAAACTGGCCTAAGGGGATCCTCTAGGTTTCAAGGGAGTGTAAGTCTTTGTACCACACACCGGGAGACAAATAACAAGAGAAGGCGGCGACCTTAACACCCTACCTGTGGGCTTCCTGGAAGCACCTTGCTTCCTCACTGTTGGAAACGGATGTGGAATTGCATGCACCTTCGCCCTGACAAATGACAAGAGTCCCCTAACCCTGATGACAGATTTCACAAATCCACAATATCTGCCCAAAAGGCTATAATTAGGGCTTTGTGTACTCCCTATTGTTGCCACAGAATTCCTTATAACCAAGAATCTCAACTCTTCAACAGGTTCTAGTTTCTAGCCCACAGTCTCACGAGTCTGGTTAAATCTTAGGGAGGGGGCCTTGAGCAGGATTTCTAGGCAGTGAGGTTCAGCGCCTCCGTCCCTCCCTTTTTTCTTTTTTTCTTCCTCAGCTATAGAAGTGGTGTCTCCATTTCTGTCTTCATCCCAAAGCTTCCTTTTCTCTCTGATCCTGGACAGAGTTTCTTTCCAGGTTCCACACAGCAGATCAAAGCCTCCCTCAAGCCCATATCTAACTCCCTGGAGTTACTGACTGTCACCCTGTGTGTACTTACCTAGGAGCAAGCCCCTTTGATACGGAGGGACTTGCTTCTGTGTAAACGTGAATGGGGTAGAGCTATGAAACTCATTTCTTTGAGTGCCTCATACCCATCAGCATATCTAGGAATTTGAGAGAAATTTCAACTTGGGCCAACATTTCAGGTCGTCTGTAGATAGAATGCTAATGAATTCCCTGACAAGGAAATTGCTGGTATATTTTTAGATACTCCTAGGAAGTCCACCTGCTGATCTGCCCTAGGCTTAGGCAGTGGTGCAACTAACTGCCTTTCTTTCATCAATACTTGTCCTGTGCCTTGTTTTTGTATATGCATTCTGAGATTGCCCTTATATTGCACAGTTTATGCACACATAAAAAACAAAAAAAGCACCCAACCCAACAAGCCTTTTATTTAAAAAATAAATTTATTTAAATGAAACTAACCTGATTATTTATTGTGTCTCAGCCTCTAGTTCTCATTTACTGGGTGGGAGAGAAAAGAAAACAGTTTTATTATTTTACTGGCCGCGGGGAAGCGGTTTGTACAGAGATGAAAAGGGAGCTGAAATGCTTATCTTTTCTTAGCTGAAATCTGATGGCAATCACAAAAGCTCTCGTCCACAGATTCAGGCCTGCACAAATTGTAACCTACCAAGCATAACACCCAGTTGTTGTGTGGTGTGCTGGGTGCTTGACATGCGCACACACAGGGAATTTGTAGCTTTTTTTGGTAAGGCAAGTGGTACAGGCCTGTCTGGTTCTTGTTAGTCAGCTGTCGTAGCTACAAGTGGGACTGTCAGTCTAAGCAAGCAATGAAGCAGAAGCCTAAACAATTACCCAGGAGTAATTCCAACTGAATTCAATGAGACATTCCCTTGTGTGTTTAAGTTTATAGCCTTATTATTATTCATTACTTGTAACCCCCCCCCCCATCTAGTTGCCCCAGTACTCTGGGTGGCTTCCAACAGAATATAAAAGAACACACAAGGCACCATACATTAAAAGCTTCCTGACACAGGGCTGCCTTCAGGTGCCTATGGAAGGTCGTATAATTGTTTATCTGTTTGATGTCTGAAGGGCGGGCGCCACTACCGAGAAGGCCCTTTGCTTGTTTCCCTGTAACCCCCCTTCTCGCAGTGAGGGAATTGCCAGAAGGCCCTTGCAGCTGAACCTTAGTTAAGTGGGGGGTCAACTTAAATTGAGTGATGGAGTTAAGGACATAGCTGTTTACTTTTTGAGATTGCTGTGGTGCCGTTTCTGTCACAGTAAATGAAAAAATACTACAGGTGGCCTCGCTTCTAATTAAGAGTGGTTTTCCGTGCTTACTTCCATTGTGTTACCTCACAAAAAGGCACAGATACAGAGATTTTGGATATGTACAGTTACATAAATGTAAGCAGGGAGTCAATTAATTTAGTCAATAAGAGAATTCTTTCCATTGTGGCAATATATTGGTGGGTGGAAGACTGCAACCACTAATCTTCCTAGCTCATCCCTGTCATGCGATCAATTCCTGTGCTTCACAGTTTTAAAGGACTAAAGCAGATGGTACAACTTTTAAGGTTGTTGGGCCAGGGATGGGACAGTCTGACTGGAGCAAGCCTTGATGTTGTCTGTGCCTGCCTCCCTCTCCTCCTCCTCCTCCTCACAGGGCAGATGCTCAGCTGTGGCCGTGCCTAGCATACTGGCATATTCACAAATCATGACATCAGTGCAACATCACAACCACAACGTGCGATTCTTGATGCCTGAGTCAAACTGGTCTACTTGTTGTTGCAGATCATCTTCGCTTAGCTTATCTTACAGGTATTACTCTAAAGTGTAAAATGTTTTGTCAAAACACAGCATGTGTGCAGACACTTGCCAACTGAGTTGGGCGCCTTTCAGATTTGAGAAACCATGTAAGTTCAGCAGGTACATTGGCTTCAACTAGATGTGTGCTCCTTTGCACAACACATGAAGAACTCTAGACTAAACTGCCATTTTATGTTCTGTTTGGTTGGATTGCATAAAGAATTCTAAGAATATAACTTTAAAATATCTTTATTTATAAGTAATAAGGATCTCCCCATTACATTCTGTGGCTAAAGTATAAACTTTGCTAAACAATGTGAAATATTTCTGAAATGTTTCAAGATCCACAGTAAGTATCAAAATTGGCAATCGTATAGAAATGCATTTTTTCTAACAAGCATAAGTAATTAACCATACTGGTCAAAAATAAAATTTAAGCAGAATGCAGAAGCAAACAAGACAGATACTAACTTGATTACAGCAGAATTTAAAGCTTTCTTTAAACTAAACTATTATGTTTCTGTTTATAAAGAGTTACTTAAAAACAAAAAACCAACAAGTTAGATACTTGGGGCCCTGTATAGTTTTGGTGAAATTTGTGTCTCCTGGACTTCTCGGTATTTGTTATTTAAAGTGTTTTTATAACAGTTTTTGTAGTTATTCATTCTCCCAAAATCTGGTAACCATTTTTAAACTGGAAGTTAAGAAGCACTTGTCCAAGACTCTCCTCTGTGTTCCTGGCTCAGCCGGGATTTAAAACCAGGCCACTAGATAGAAATCTAATCATTGACCCACATTTGCTTTCACTGTGACTTGCAACCGATACAACTACTAGAGATTACAAACTTTGTTTCACATATGCAATAGGGAGAAGTTATGTTTTTACTAAAGAAAAAGAATCTTTCCCTACTCTCCACAAAAGTAAGAGTATCCTGTTGGGAAAATTCTGGTAGTGGGAGGAGAGGGACATAACGCTCATCTTCCTCTCTCCCTATATACATAAAATTATAAGGCTGTCATCACACAGCCCCCATTGGAGGATTTGTCGTGCTGCACCACAATACCGGAATTGCGTAAAATCAGCTTAGCCATTGGAGGATATGTAGGGAATCATCACAATCCCAGATTTGCATGAAGTCGGGGCTGGGAAGGGGGTTAAAGGGAAGGCAAGTTGCACAATAGCAGTGCCCATGGCATGGGACTGAGAAGGAAGGGATACTAAGAGGGGGAAAGTGGTGGAAAGACAATGAGAGGGAAATGGTGGTTTTAAACAACAGCAGAGATATGAATAAAGCAGTGATGGAGAAAAACTGAGCGGGAAAATGTGGCAGTTTTAAACAATGGCAAGAGTTTGAGCAGAGTTAGGAAGGAGTACCAGTGAGGAGGGAAAATGGCATTTAAAACAAAATTTGAGAACTATGAAAAGGGAGTTGGGAAAGGTTCTGCTGTGTTAGCTTCTGGGTTGAACCCATCTCTGCTATTTCTCCTTGGTAAACCTGGTTTGTTTATGATTTAAAGAGCAAGCCCTCAGTGTACATCTATCCTTGCTTACACAAACCTCTGCTGTTGTTTAAAACCAAAATTTTCATCCCAATCTCTCTCTATCTCTGCTTTACTCAAACTTCTGCTATTGTCTGAGCGCAATGAGACAGAAGAACACTACCTGGGGGGAAAACAGCTATTTTCCCTCTTCCATTCCTCAGCTGCCTCATATGAGAAAGATAAAGGATGTGGAGCCCTCACATATTTCATAGCACCTTCAATACAGCATTTTTGCCATATGAAGTAAATATGAACATGAAGTTCCAGATTTAATTTAGAAGAGATAATTTTATTAACAAGCAAACACCCAGACATGCGCCACATCCATCAACTGAAGTTAAGCTTCTCTAACTAAACAATTAAGTAGAATAAAGGTACGAAGGTTATCATGATGTAGGAAGGGGAAGGGGAACATGAGGGGAAATGGGGAAATGCAAAAGAGATTGCGAAAAAGGAGGGAGTATGAGGGATGGAATGACACTGGAGATGAAAGCAGGGACATGAAAGGTTCTGGAACATAAGAGGGGATGGTGGCTTCATAAGAGAAGGTGAAAAGGATGCTTAATAGTTGCAATATACAGGCAACCCCCATTTTAGGTGTGACCGATATGTGTGCAATCACACACATAGCACCGAACCCGGAAATGACTCAGAAAGGTAATAAAAGACATCACTAAAAGGACAGAAAGGGGGCGGAGTGGGGTGTTTCAATTGCATGCGATTTCACGCAAGCGCACAATGACCCGGAACACAACCCTGCACAAGTTGGAGGTTGCCTGTATGGAAAGAGAAAGTTGTGGGACACTGCAGTTAAACATAACTATGCACAACTGCTAGTTAGTCCATGGAGGGGAAAAGGACTACAGAGTTGTATTGCTAGATAGACTCAGCTAGGTCACACCCGGAAATGGAGGAAGTAAAGCCTTTGGGGGGGTGGGGGGGTGGGGGGGGTGTGTGTGTATGCATAATGTAACAAGACAGAGATGTGTGAGCTTGCTCCAAAGCTCACAGCACATGTTTGGAACTATATTCTGTATTTTCTATGGAGGGGTATCTTGCCTGTATTATCCTTGCTGCTGCATGGAACACTGCATGACTTAGACCTTGAATCTGCTAAGTAAAGCATTTAAAACTTAAAGGTGTGTGGTCTGCTCATTGCAAGAGGGGTAGAAAGAGGTTAGCGGCTGTGTGCAGATGAACAATCTATAGTCCTAACGCTGTACTGCAGCTTAACTTTTGTGAGTTTAATCTCTGCTACTGGGGCTCTCAGTATGCTAGCCCCAAATTTTGAATCTGGGCACCCAGCCGATTCTTTTGTTTATCCACACATTTATCCATTCCCTCAGGGAATCATATATTAAATTCCCTCAGAGACGATGCACAAGATTACTCTGGGCATGGTTTGTATACAAGGAGGTTGCAGAAAAAGAGTGCAGAGGAAGTATAGACATGAAAGCGAAGGTGAAAACAGGTGTGCAAAGCAGGACTGAAGAACAGAAATGGCTTCAGAAATGGTGTTGAGAAGGTGAAAAATGAGCTTAGCAGTTGAACAGGGTGGGAAGGGGAAGCTGGAGGGGGTGAACGTGTTGGTGAGCAGAACAAGGAGGAGCGCACCCCCTAGTAAAGCATATATACAACATTAGAAATACTGACTTGCTATAAGCCCCCTTTTAGTCATACTTGAAATCAACATTAGGTGGTGCTATAACTAAAGTTTTACACATGGCTTGGCAAACTTAGGGCTGAGTCACTTCAGGCTGCAGACAGAGGCTTAAAAGGACTGCATGCTTCTCCATAGCACAATATCTCTGCACATAGAAAACTATGTGAAAACTAGAAAACTAGAGGAGTGTTCCCCTTAGCAAGGCGTTTGGGGCAGGAGGATATGGAGGAACACTTCTAGTATGAAATGGTACAGTTTTGTAACTTACTACAGAAACAATTTCTCAACCATATGTCAGGAGTGCTTTGATGGTGTTTCCTGCTTGGCAGGGGGTTGGACTCGATGGCCCTTGTGGTCTCTTCCAACTCTATGATTCTATGATTCTATGATTCTAAGTGAAAAGAGGGTGGGAGAAAAGGGGATGAAACAATTTATTGCATGGGAATAGAGCCAAAGAACAAGAACGAACAGGGGCAACGCGTTCTGCTTTGCTGCTTGAGGTGAAACGGAAACGTTTCCCCCCACCCCCGTCTCCCCGGTCCCTGCTGAAGCCTGCCTCATCTGCGTTGCGCAGCAGTGCTGGCTTCCAGCGAGATCTCACTTGCTCTGTGAGAGCTTGCAATATTTCAGTGAGATCATATGAGATTCGGTGAGATCTAGCCAGAAACCAGTGCTGCTGCCACTTCTCTGCCTGCAGGGTGGGGCCTCACCTCATGGGCTTTTGCCACTTGAGGCTCTTGCCTCACCTTGCCTCATGGACAGGGTCAGCCCTGAAAAAGAGCAAAGGTCGTGCTTTATTTAGGTGAGGCATCTTTGAGATACAACCGCATCATTCTCAGCAGCGCTTGAAAGTTTGGCTTTTGGTGACTTGACAATTGTCTTGTAGGGAACACCATGGATAGAAAAATATGTTAAATTAGCACCTTGGGTTTTGCAAAGCTACATCTCAGAAATCAGAGCATAGCAGACCAATCAGGTCCTTGTTGAGCGGAGTAAGCAAAGCACCCGAGAGACAGAGCAAAGAAGGAAAAGAGATGGTGTGGTGACTTCTTTGTTTTCTCTGGCAAGGAAAAGCAAGACCCTGCTGTGGGGGAAGTTCTTGTCAAGAACATGGAACAACTGGAGGGCTGGAATGGGCACTCCTGATCCATGGTAGCGGTCAGAACCAGAGGCCACTACAAGCAGAGGGAGCGTCAACAGACATGGCCCTCCACAAGAAGAATTCTGAGCCAGCCCTTAGTCCCCTTCCTTATTCTTGCACTCACAGTGCAGTGCAGGTTCTGTGCTGATCCCAACCAATTAAACCAGATAATTCTTCTGAGGAAGCCTGTAACCAGTTGTATGCGATTATAAATGTACTAAAATAAGCAACCCAAGGTCACATGGTTTACATGATAATGCATCGCCATGTTTCACTTGACAAGCACCACATTTCATCCATTTTAAACCCTGGGTTCCTTCCCTGCTAGAGATCTCCTTTTTCTACCCAAGATTGGGTGTGAGCGTGGACGGAACTTCATCTCAGTGTAAGGGATGGAGAACAAGTGGCCTTTCCATGGCTCCCAGTTAATTCCCTGGAAAGAGAAAAACAGGTAATCAAGCATCACACCGGAACAAAGGACACTGCCCTCAGCTATACCAAGTCAGACCACTGGCTTGTCCTTGTCGACTGCTTCTCTGGGGCTTCAGGCAAGAGTTTTTTCCAGCTCTTAACTGGAAACACCAGGGATTAAACCTGGGATCTTTTGCATGCCAAAGAAACTGCTTGAATCTGTGGGCAAAAATTAAAACTCCTGCCCATGTTTATAGCAGAAATAATACCATTTCAAACATATTATTTTTCACTTGCTGTTATGGCCAATTAATAATAATAATAATAATAATAATAATAATAATTTATTTGTACCCCGCCCACCTGGCTGGGTTTCCCCAGCCACTCAGGGTGGCTTCCAACAAAGATTAAAAATACATTGAAATGTCACACATTCCCTAAACAGGACTGCCTTCAGATGTCTTCTCAATGTCAGGTAGTTGTTTTTCTCTTTGACATCTGATGGGAGGGTGTTCCACAGGGCGGGTGCCACCTCCAAGAAGGCCCTCTGCCTGGTTCCCTGTAACTTGGCTTCTCGCAGTGAGGGAACCGCCAGGAGGCCCTCGGCGCTGGACCTCAGTGTCCGGGCAGAACAATGGTGGTGGAGACGCTCCTTCAGGTATTCTGGACCGAGGCCGTTTAGGGCTTTCAAGTTCAGCACCAACACTTTGAATTGTGCTCGGAAAGGTACTGGGAGCCAATGTAGGTCTTTCAGGACCGGTGTTATGTGGTCTCGGTGGCCACTCCCAGTCACCAGTCTAGCTGCCACAACAGCCCCATGGATTAGATTCAGTCCCCAAAACCTTTCAATAGGTGTTGATAAACTGCCATGCACCTATGCCATGCATCTATGAAAGTCTCTCCAGATCAGAGTGCCCCCACCAGCTTATTTTTGCAGGTCTTCAGAGCACAGATGGAGAACCTCTGTTTGTCTAACTGTCTAAAATGTTTCCTGCTCCACTGGTTTGAACATTGATGTCATATCCTATTGTTATCATGTATTACTGTGAATTGTGGTTTTAATTTCACTTTTATGCTGCATTTTATGAATGTTGTTAGCTATTCTGGTCTCTGTATGAGGAAGGGTGGAAAGAGGAGGAGGAGGAGGAAGGAAAGTGTGCAATACTTTTGAGCATAGTAATTCTGAGTGATCAAAGCATTTCACATACACTGTCTTGTAATCTAACAAGGTAGGTCAATATTATTAGCCTCTTATTCTTTGTGCAGGAAGAGCTTGCCAAAGGCTGTGAGATTCAACCTGGGGAGGAAGAGCCTTTCCTGAGTCATAGTTGTCTCTAAACCACTAAGGCACTGCTCTGTGGCGCCTCTTTCTCCATAAATCTGCTGCAATGTGCTTTTCAGCAGAAATGCGGCAAGAGGGCACAAGGGCTCATCTTCCCATCTTTCAGGCTCTTTGTTCCAGACCTCAGCAGCCATTTTCTGACATATTCGGGGCGGGGGGAGTCTGTGCTCGTGATTAAGTTTTGAGAATTTCAGTTTTCAGATTTTCCTAACAACTGTATGAGAAAACCTAATACTGCAATCCTATATACACCGGTACCTGGGAATAAGTGTCCGTGGGGCTCACATTTGAGTAGACATGTGTAAAAATGTTTTAATGGATGGATCCAATGAAAAAACAAATCAAACATTGCAGCCCAAGGAATAACAACTCCTGATATAAATTCAGAGTTAAGAAATGGCAGAATAGAAAGGGTTTCCATTCCATTGTGAGACAGGTAAGACAGTTCCAAACTTTTAATGACAACCGCAGGGAAGTGCCTCATGTTGCCAGCATTTTAGTAGGCACTTGGGGGAAAATCGCATACCTGATATATAAAAGGAGAACCATACAGCATGTGGGAGGAACCTGTGGCCTTCCAGGTGTTGCTGACTACAACTACCATCAGCGCCAGCCAGCATGGCCAATGGCCAGGGATGACGGGAGTCGTGGTTCAGCAGCTTTTGGAGGGCCAAAGGTTCCCCACATCTGCTGGGCAGAGTGCCCAGTACTCACCTCACTGTGCTTGTCTTCGCCATATTTGCCATTCAGATTGGCCAAGTGGCAGTTCTTATACCACCAGCCACCGTGATGTGTGATTGCGCAGTTGCTGAGAGCAATGTCGCTGTCCCTGTCCCAGGTGGTAAATCTCCAACCATTGTGGTAAGTCATGGCATCCCCTGAATTGGGGGAAGGAAGGCAGCATTAGGACTACGGGGATCCTGGCTTCATTAAAACCCGAGTACACCTGGGCACCTGAAATAAGAGCTGCGAAAGCCTGCCTAGAGGAATCAGAAATACAAGGTAACTTTTCTCAAGGGCCAACATGCAGATACACAACTACTGCTAAAAGGAGAGAACACAAATGGCCAACTATACAAGATTTGTATCAGCATCGGCTTCTGCAAAAATGTGCAGCTCAGATGGATGTTGGAATTGTAGTCAGCTCACAGTGGACTTTATTCACTGCTAGTAATCCTGCATGATTATACAGATATACTGGAAGTAAATTATTAAAAGTATTATGGGGAATTTGCTACTGCAGGATTCTGTAATGGCCCCTTTTTGTTCTTCTGAGCTGGACATACTTCTGAGTAGACAGACCTAAGACTGCACAGTTAAAGGAGTAACTAATAATGAAGCAAATAAATAGCTAGTAATAAATCTCTTCATAGCACCTACCACTGAGGCACCAAAAGGTATCCCTTCTGACAGAGGAGTGGCTTTTGAGAAATGGTTACACCAATGAAGTCAACAAACACGACTGGAGTATGAGAAAGGTGGCAAAGATGTTTTTCTGTCAATATGCTATATCGCCTACTAAAGGGAATGATGATTTTTGTTGGAAGGGTAATGGAAAAATATTACTGGCTCCTTAAGTGCCAGGGTCATACTCGATTTAGGCATAAAATTTATGTTGTCTGTGCTAGTGTTGTCTCTTTACACATCCTCCCACTTATGTATATAGCACACAGGTGTGGTTTTGCTCCATCTATAAAACCACACATGTATATCTCTCTCTTTGTACATGCGTCATAAAGTGATTTCAGGGGGAAGAATTGCAAAGAAAGCTTTTTGCTTTCTATAAGACTATACTGTTAAACCAGCCTTCTCCAACCTGGTGCCCTCCAGCTGTTTTGGACTACAGCACCATGTGCTGGCTGTGGCCCAGAAGAGCAGCAGAGCACCAGGTCAGTACATAAACTATTTATATTCTGGCCATTTTAACACCTGACAAGCTAGTTAGCTCCACGCAGTGAAGGGTGTCTCACTGCTTCTGTGTCCAGTGTCTACACATGATACTGCAAGCCAAATAATGTTTTCCTTACCAGCGGTGCCTCTGTACTTCCCCACGGAGAGCTTGTATCGCTCCCTGCTGGAGCCCACCTGGAAGAGGTCGTAGACGGCATAGGCAGACTCATTGTGCGTTCGTAAATCCACCCTCAGTTCATAGGGAACGGGGGCGCTACTGGTGAGCTGGTGCAGCTTTTCAAGGCCTGAAAGAAACAGTCCAGAGTAAGTTTGCAGACAACCACAGTTCCACTTGTCCGTGGCCAGTAAGAAATATTTCCACAGGCAACAAAGCCAGAAAGTTTTCATGACAAAGCTATAAATTTCAGTATGTCCAGAGTAAACTTAGCTGAACTCCACCCATTGTTTTTGCGACATAAATGCATACCGAGAGCTCTTCAGAGGCAATGTGCCTTCACCTCTCCTGCTGCCTGGGGGCTGCTCCCTGCACCTGCTCCGCCAGCCTGTGCCAAGCGCAAGCCGGCTGGCCAGGGCAGTCTGTTGGCCAGCTTGACCTGAGCAGTGAGGCAGGGTCGCTCAGAGGCAGCTGGGATAAAGGTGGAGGTGGCATTGGCAGCTCTGCTGCAGCTCTTGCAGGGGACTCACCAGGTGTGTGTGCTCTCCTTGGGGAAGAGACAGGGCTGGCCGGGGGGGGGCTTTGAAAACCACCCCCCAGGCACACCTGGGTGAGACCCAGGGATTTGCTTTGAGTGATTTGCTTTTCCCTGCTTGGAGCCCTCGCTCCTCTCCACTCCGCCTCTGTTTGCCCTTCCTCTCCTCTACCTGCTCAGCTCCTGGCAACTGATTTGAATGCAAAGGGAGCAGCTTGAAGAGCCCTCCAGCACAGACAGGCTTCTGCTGCTTGCCACTGCCAGCGCACCCACCCAAGAGCTGAAGACACACACACAAGCTCCCAGGGGAGAAGGACTTTTGGGCGTGTCGGCAGCAGCAGCAGCAGTAGCATCCACCAATTAAAACCAAAGAAAGAAAGCACTGAGAAAGAGACTCACCCTCCGTTTTGTGGTTCCTTTCCTTCCCACTCCCTCCATTGTGCATCTTCTCCAGTGCAACTAGTTGGCGATACTGGCAGTTGCGCCACTACAAATCTTTCACCCGGGGCCACAGCCCCTCTCGCCCTGCCCACCCTAAGCCACTGAGCTCACCTATCCATAGCACTGGCCAGAAAGACCAGATAACTATATATGCACGAGCAGCGGCACTTTTTACAAAACCTGTGGCACCCTTCCCTGGTCGCATACAGAATGCAGATACAGTACCAAGCCAAAATTCCCCAGCAGGGTCTCCAAAGCCTTCAACGTAGTTCCTCCAGCGCTTAAAGAAATCCAGCTGCCCTGTGTTCCGTCTCTGAAACACCTGCAAAAGCAAACAAAAGCCAAGTGATAGGTCTGGTCCCTTGAACACAGAACACCAATGATAGGATGATAGATGGAAACTGAAGATAAGAAGGCTCAGACAACAAGCACAATAAGAAATACCTAACCAGATGAGGCCAACTTAATTTGACCATGAATTATAGAATTCTCCCCATCTATTTTGTTTGTGGAGTAACACCAATGATCCACTCTTTCTTTCTTTCTTTCTTTCTTTCTTTCTTTCCATGGCACCTGTGCAACTCTATGCAGCTTTTGGTTCTCCTCTCTCCCACCACTTCAACAGGTTATCAATGAGCTCAAGCACATGTAGTTACTGATTAAATCACAGGAGGAAAAGGAACTCCTTATCTCACCAATATTCCTTTTTGTGCAGAGTTTTAACCATTGTGTGCATGAACTCATGCATATCAGTAAGCTGTAAAGGCAGGGAGGGGAGAGAGACGAAATAAACAGTGTGGAGAAACCAGTTCCCAAATTAGAAATTCTCCTGGTTAAATGATAATGCAGAAAAGAGGAAACCAAGGGGCAGAACCAGCCCACAAGCAAGAACAGGAATGCCATGCAGGACATCCACTCACCCCTAAGAAGGAAACTTCAAGGTAGGCTTTTTGAAGCATATGAAGACCCTGCCTTGTACTGTTGCATTTCTGACTACCACTGCTAACTTTCCAGGGGTTTGTGCTTTGACCTGCGTGCTGCTACTCACCTCACCCCCCACAATACTGTCTGAATTTTGGTGCAGGTCCTGCAGAGGCAAGTATGCTTTTGGTGTGGTTGGTTGCAATATGACCACCAAGTGATAGTATGCTGCGTCACTCCCCTTGGTGGAAAGGGCCAAATCTGTCGCATGAGTGCTTTGTGAAAGGATAGAAAATAGAGCTGTTTAAGAACAGAACTCACTATCCATCCGCCTCCATCAGTGGCCATGTCACAGTACACCTGCAGGGGTCTGTTGACGTCTCCGTTCAGGTAGATGGTGTACATGCCGCTGGCAGAGTGTCCATTTTCCTGGGTCTGGCTGCAGTCCGCAGGGAAGGGATAGCGCAAACTGACTGCAGGAGCAAAGGAGGGGGAAAGCCAAGTGAGCAAGTTCAAAAAGAAAGATGAAAAACAAAGAATATTTGTACAGCACAGCAATATAAAGGAGGCCAGGGCAACCATTTCTCTAGATTTTCCAGTTTTCCATTCTTAAGTTCAGTTTGCTCCCTTTTTGCATCAGTTTGCAAAAATGTTGGGGAGAGGGAATTTGTATGCAAGTTCACATGCATTTTCTGTGCCTTCCTCCTAATACACATTTTTGCCCACAGCTTAATCAAATGCATTTTATGCATTATTTTCACTAATGTGTGCATTTTTGTGCACTCTCCCTGTTTTTTTTTATATACGGTTTTTTTGTTTTGACAACTGCTTTGCAAAATTTGGAGAACTGCACATTTCAATTGATACCTGCATTTCAGTTTGTGTCGGAAAGAGCAAGATTAGGCCTAATAAATCTATCCTCTATCCTACACAGACCACGAATGGCAGAGAGCAGGGAGACCCGAAGGGACGCATGAACATGATCAAATGCAGTTTCATGAACCAAGGCTAAGGCTGCCAGCCTATACACACTTACTGTTAGCATTTGTTTGGAACACCCAGCAGAAACTGAACTGGATATAGAATCCCTGCTGGAGGAGCACACTTTACCCTGCATACAATCACACTGAGACACACTGAGTTTAGGAAAAGAAGCAAGCTAATATTTGTTACCAGAAATGCATGCTCGACAGGAAATATCTCTAATTCTATCTACCTACAATGGAGATGCAAGAAGCGGTGCTTGCTTTTGCACCTCAAGAGGGAGAGCTCAAAGTATGTCTGCTGTCATCAGGGAGGCATGAAGGAGAAGGAAGGTGAGTAGGAAGGGAAACCACCAACCCTAAGATTATCTGTCTGAAGGAAGGTCAACAAAAGGAGGACAGCCTAGGAAGTCTGGAGTTTCCTCTCTCTGTCTGCTCTTTCTCATGCAGTTACATCAGCCTGCAGTGCAAATTGATCAGCACTCTTGTCACTTCCAGCACTTACCTGGGAGCAAGTCCCATGGAGTGCAATAGGATTTACTTCTGAGAAGACATGCATAGGATTGCACAGCATTTATGTCTAGCTGTGTTTGCTTATAGCCATCTCTCCAAACCCTTGTCTTTCCTTCTCTCTTACTGTTTTTCCCACTGTCAGTTTTTCAGATTATATGCTTCTCAGGGAGCAAATGAAGGATGGAGAATCCAATCAAATGAACAGTAGGTCTGTGACCCTGATGGCTTTGTCCATATATCTTTCTGAGTTGAGGCAGTGTAGCAGATAACCCAGCATGACTTGTGAGCTCCCACTTCAAATCTCACTTGAGTCATGAACTCACAAAGACCAAATAAATGGATAGATATTATAGTAAATTGTTATGTACTAAGCTTGGATCCTAGAGCAATAGGCAAGTAGGATCCTAGAATGCAACAACTGATTGGCTTGCAGGAGAAGACCAATCAAGCTCCAGGAGGAAGTTAATCAGCCTATTGGGTTGGTAGGATCATAGAATGCAACAACTGATTGGCTTGCAGGAGAAGACCAATCAGGCTCCAGGAGGGAAGCAGAATCAGCCAATCAGCCGGGACTCATTGTGTAAATAATATATATAAAAGCCTGAGGTTTGGGGGGAAATTCAATCACGGTTTTACAAGTTGCAATAAAGAGCATGAAATCATTGCAGGACTCCGAGTATATTTCATAAATCTACATGGAAAATACTCTTGTTTAAGTTCAAAGAAGGGATTTTCTGAACAATCCAGCTTTAAAGCTGTCTACTTGTTATTAGACAACTGTTTTGTGCTTGCCCACTTAATTCTTAAGTATGCCAACATTTTAAAAAATGGATTTGTTTGTAGCTTTTGTCAACTTTAAGGTTACCTTTGGCTCCATCAGCACACATTGGTTGTTCAACAAATTATCAAATGCCCAAACCTCTCGCCATTTTGTGTAAGGATGTTATATTCAAACACCAGTCTGAATGTAAGATTTCATCACACTGAACTCTTCTTCCACTGTATTCCCAAATCTAGTAGCATCAAACAAGGTTTTATACTGGAGCCTCACCTTTTAAACTTATTTAATAATGATGTAAACATCTGAATTAAAACAGGGTCCCTACTTTCTGGTCATCTCTGAGCTGATGATAAGATTCTCCCATATCATTCTCTGTTGAGGATTCACAGATGGTTAGCATCCTTGAATTCGTTTTGCCAAAAAATGTCTCAGGTGTAAGCTAAAACAAAAGTCCTTCTTGCTCACCGCAGATGAGCTCTTCCTAACTGGTGTCTTGATGATCAATCTCATAACTGAGTTTACTTTCCAGTTAAGGGGCTCAGCAGTCACATCTACATTATGGAAAATTGAAAACTGGACAACATGTATGTGGTACTTTGAAATTACTATGTAAGATCTGAAAGTGCCGCCAGTTCTTGACCTGTTAAAACTTATTCCACTATTACTATTCAAATCTGACGTGCAAAATCATCAAATTTAGAATGTCTTCAGAATAGGCTATTAAGACATTGATCTTAGGATTCTTTTAAATACACCCATAATGTTTCTCAGATCACCAGAAACAGGAGTTCAACCTCTCAAAGCAAAAATACATGTTAAATGGTGATGGGCACATTCCCTCAGCTCAATTCAGTACTGGGTTTGGCAAACAAAACTATATTAAGTTTAATCTGAGCTCAATTTGCATTCCATTCTGCTCCTGATGACATCATCAAATGCTTGGTTATAAAAATGAATGTGTATGATTTGTGATTATGGTTTTCAGTCACATATTTTCCTACTAAGATTCGGTGTGGTGCAAATTACTTCTTCCCCTGGAGACCCCAAGAAGGCGGCTAAAATCCTGAAATTTCAGATCCAAACCCTGAGACTAGACTGACCTACTCCTTGAACTCCTGGCCTCTTTCCAAGCCTTCATAATACAAAAAATCCTCAGAAGATCAACACAGATTCAGCTGGCAGTGCCACATGACCCATTTTGAGGGCAAGCACCATCTTGAACAACAGGTCGAGGAAGTTTTACTGCAGTTCCCAAAACCTACCTGTAGAAAAGGTGGTGGTTGTTTTGCGACTCCAGCGGTCTCCCTTAAAGGCCATGATATGTATGGTGTATTTGGTTCCTCGAGTAAGGCCTTCTAGGACAAACCTTTCTTCATTAGGACCTAACCGCACTTCCTGACACACAAAAGAAAAGAGAGGCAAAAATTACATTTCATTGACAATTTGTCTCCAGCCCTTCTTGACCTTCGCCTCCGATCCCTGTAAGAGGCAGGGGGAGAGATGACTGGCTACCCAAGGATGGTTGTGATCCATGGGGAAGTGAAAAATGCAGTTTCTCTAGAGGAAGGTAGTGGAACGTGTTGCTGGATTGCAGCTTCCATCGTCCCTGACCATCAGGCATGCTGGCTGGGGCTGATTGGAATTGATCCCACAGGATCCAAAGAACCACAGACTGCCCTTCTTAGAGGAGCAAGTCAGATGCACACAGTACTCGGTGAATAATAGTTGAGGTTCATAGTTCATAGCATTCATAGAATAAGATCCAGTATTTGAAGGGAATAGGCTGTATTTATATTCCCAAAACACAAGGATGGGGCAAGTCAAATTAAAAGCTTCACTTTTAATCTCTGAAATCAACTGCTTTTTTTTCTGCTTTTTAAAAGGATGTTAAAAATACTGTTTTATCTCTAGGCTGCATTTCAAGATTGCTTTTATAACTGCTGTTTCTATAATTTGCTTTTATGTGGTTTTAATGCCTTATTATAATTGTATATCATAAACCATCTTGCGTGTGGGCTGGACATTTTCAAAACTAAAATGAGGCAAAAGGGGGCCCCTGACTATATACTGGCTACATGCCAAATCTTCATGACGATTCAGTGTTGCTTTACAGTTATGCCACCTGTACCAACTTTTCATATAACTTAAAAACATTAAATGCAAAGCATATGTAGCGAATCTCTGTATCAAATCTGGGTTCATGGGTGAAAAGCTTGTGCGTTTTTGAACTGTTGGCTTAGCTAATCTTACATTTGCTCACATAGCAATTTACAGACTTACCTTGATAGTACCATCTGGTTCCCGATAGGTGATAAGATAGCCACTGATCTGAGCATCAGGTGGTGTCCAAGTGACCAGTCCACTGGACTGTGTTACATCTGACACACGGACATTCCTGGGAGGGTCAATTTCTAGGCAAAAGACAAAGTGGGTGAAGGTGTTTTAACCTGCTACAGTGGTACCTCAGGTTAAGTACTTAATTCTTTCCGGAGGTCCGTTCTTAACCTGAAACTGTTCTTAACCTGAAGCACCACTTTAGCTAATGGGGCCTCCTGCTGCTACCGTGCCACTGGAGCCCGATTTCTGTTCTTATCCTGAAGCAAAGTTCTTAATCCGAGGTACTATTTCTGGGTTAGCGGAGTCTGTAACCTGAAGCGTATGTAACCTGAAGTGTATGTAACCAGAGGTACCACTGTATATGGTTTATTCATTACAATAACCTGTGTAGAAAGAAAAAGATTTGACCTCCTCATATTCCTAAGAGGAATTGAACAAACTACTGGAAGAACCATTTTCCCCTCCACAATTCCCCGAGTGGTTAGAAATTCCAAGGTCTGCCTTTATTTTCCTTGTTAGGAGTATTAAAATATTTTGCAAAACAGTCTAAAACAACATCAGTCCCATGCACCCCCCTCCCCCCACATCCTGCTTTGCAAAAGACAGCGGTTTCTCCACATCTGCTTCATGACAGCTCTGTCTCTGGGTTAGCATACATCTTATTTCCACCAAGATGCAAATTGCAACAATTCAGCCTCCAGCCCAAGGAGCTTGGGGGCGCTGCATATTTGGTGCCTCAAAGTAGTGAACCAGGCCATTAGAAACATTCAGAGCCACCAAGCTATCGCAAAGTGTTTACATTTGATATAAGTAAAAAAAAAAACTGCTCCTTTTCCCTTATGGGGTACCCAAGAGCCCATATAGAGACCTTTTGTAGGTTCTCTATCAGTAGGAGAAAATAACAGAGACCAACCAGAGAATATTGAGAAGCAAAGTAGCTAGTAAGCCTGATCTCTATTGACTGCTGCAACAGGGTGCTGCCCCATAGCTGTCAACTTTCAGATTTGAAAATAAGGGATCAGCAGCCTCAAAAATAAGGGATCAGCAGCTTCACCTGTCCCGGGGACAGTCTATGGGATATCTAACAATCCGGGATAGCAGTGGGAAACGGTGATGGAATAAGGGAATTTCCCGCAAAAAAAGGGAAGGTTGACAGATATGTGCCCCCACACGCAGGAGAGAGGAGGAGGACCTCGAACAATGGCGCGCAAGGCCTTATATATCCATGTTGAAATTCCCTGCCCTGGAGCTCCAGACCACCCCTCCATACATACATCACAGAAGGGGTGTAGCCCAAGACCACCCTCCACAAACATCATACCTACATCACAGAAAAGGTGGTCTACAACAGAAAATTGAATGTTGTGTTTTTCCTGTCTGCCAAGTTATCTGATAATGCCTTATCTGATTGCCTTTTCTGGTAGTCTGGCCATTCCTTTGAGATGGCAATTACCTAATTCCTGAGACAATGGGAAGGGCTTTTTTCACCCCCTCCATCCTTGCAGAGAAACACTTAGTCAGCTTGGGAGTCAAAATGGTTTCAGGACTGTCCCCCTGCGCTGCTCCAGACACGCGGTTCACACACTCATGTACGAGCCTGCCTGGCACATTGATGAACATTTATTATATATCTAAGACCTTAAAATTCTTATAACACGTTATTTAGAAAAAAATGTCAGGATGGAACTAGACTTGTGAATGTGGTTTCAGAAACTATTTAGAGCCACATTAGATTTTACATGGCAGTCTCACAGCTTTCCCCCCACCTCAACGAAAATCAGCTGCAAGAGGCCATGGGGAGCAGGGGGTGTCTGCCCCCCCTAAATCAAGTAAATAAATAAAAACTGAGGTTCTCCACACACACACACACACACACACACACACACACACACCCATGCAAGAGGCTGTAGTCTTAAGTGGAGAGGGGGAAGAGGCCATAGCAATGTCTCTTCTCCCATTCATTGAACAGAAGCTTGGGGAAAGAAATTTGGGCAGAAAAGTAGTCAAAGGGAAAATAGTAAAGCAGTTCTTGTGCACTATAGCTCCTCTGATTAAGCTCAGCAAGATGGCTTTTGGATAACAAGGAAACTGACTTCCCCTTGGCCTTCTCTGTGGTGGCCACCAGTTCCAGAATGCCCTCCCTAGGGATGCCTGCCTGACACTAAGGAGACTTTTCTGACTGAAAGGCTGTGCCCATGGAAAAGGCTAGCAGGGGCCTTGAAGCTGCCCTGGGGAGCAGACTGAGCAAGCACAGAGGTCACGTGGGCACAGACTCCCCTGCTATGGAGAGAGAGAGAGACGGTGTGTTACAGCTGCCATCAGCCCCAGCCAGTAGTGCCAATGGCAAGGGACTATCTGGGGGGCCAAAGGGCAGCAAACCCTAATTTAAATCATAACAATTATCTATAAATTTGTAACTATACTTATAAATTAATGTATTTAGATTAATGCAAAAATGAACCCACTTTTATCATTTTGAGGTGACGCAGTTATTCTTTTTTGGTAATGCATAAAGTGCCCCCCCCCCCAAAAAATGAGATTGATGACCAGATAAAATCATTTTAATTTATCCAGGCTTTTCAAGAGTTTCTTTTACTTTCAATTACAACTGAATTTTAATTTTTGTTTGAGTCCTCTGCTATTTTTATAACATGTTTGCTGATTTTATTTACTTTACTGCTCTCAAGCTGCTCTGAAAGTTTTAACTGAACAGCAGGGTACCAAATTCATATAATAAGTAACTACTTTGGCCCCTACACTGGGTAATAAATCAGTATAACATGGGAACCTGTTTCAACCTGGCTTAAGTAGGAAAAAAATCTCACAAGAGCATTTTAAAAAACGGGTAGTATACCATATTTTTCCATGTTTAAGATTATATTTTTTCCTAAATTTCTGAAGTTTAAAACAAGGAGTCGTTTTATACATGGATAGTGCATTCTGCATTTTCTTAATTTTGAGTCCCAAAAATTAGGGGGAGTCTTATACATGGTGGCATCTTATACACGGAAAAATATAGTAATGAGTACTTCAGATCTGTGTGAGAAAGAATGGGTGGGTTTTATTTTTGTCAGACTCGTTATCTAAGAACTTGCTTACATAAATCAGTTTCAGAAAAGATTTGCGGCAGTTGAAGAGACCGGAAGGCCTTCCATGAGGGCAGGCAGCCTCTTATCTTGTGCTGAAGCGCCAATGTTATGAAGTTAGCTCTGCGCACAAAGCCGCCTGTGGTTCTGTGTTCTCTGGCTGCCCTTCCACATGTCTGGAACTCTCATCATGACTGGCAAACTGGCAGACAAACAGCAACACACATGCCAGACCAATCCATGTTTCTGGCTGGTAGCTGAGCAAGCTCAGCCCATAGGCTACTATAAAATAAAATTTAAAAATGCCAGGACACATAAATCAATGCTTTGCCAACCTCCTGTTTAGAAGACTCTTGAACTGCAGCCGTAAGAGCAGGCTGTGCTATTGCAAGGCAAACATACAACATAGAGTTGATAGTGACAACATAGAGTTGTCACAACTATCAGATCTCCATAGCCATACAGCTACAAAAAATTACACATATGTCAGAGTATCTGTAAACATCACCATCCAAATTCAATCCCACTAAAACAAAACTTATTTTCATGAGCATAATAAAGCTCCTCTTAGTTTTTAAGAGTAGTTTGATAGAGACTTTGATTACCCCATGGGATCCCACAGTTGCATTTGGTCAAACAAGTTTTGCAGTTTTTTGAAACAATATAAGAATCCACAAAACCTGTTTACCAGAGGTGATGTGGGATAAATGAACACGTCAGCCAGGAGCAGGGTGAGAATACATTCAGTTCATTCTCCCATGAACACTTACCTGGAGGTAAATCACACTGAACTCAATGGGGCTCAGATCTGAGTATACATGATTAAGCTTGTTTGTAAGCTGACTGTGGGTCTAGCCAACATGGTGCCCTGCAGATGGGTTGGACTCCAACTCCCATCAGTCCCAACCAGCATGGCCAATGGCCAGGGATCACCTGGCCAGGTCACACATTAGCCAAATCTGATATAGGGGATGTTCTAGCTTAAGAAGCGGTTTAGTCCTGCTGGCCACATGACCTGGAAAGCTGTCTGTGGACAAATGCCAGCTCCCTCGGCCTGAAAAGCGAGATCAGCACAGCACCCCATAGTTGCCTTTGACTGGACTTAACCCTCCAGTGGTCCTTTACCTTTACCTTACTGTCCCTTCGAGAAGTCAAGTTCCCAGTCGTGCGCACACACACATCCCAGAAAAGTTAGTGTTGTCTTATAAGAGAGTCCAGCTAGGTATGCATGAATTAGGCAGTTCCAAAAATAAATTATGCTGTAATACGAAGACTCTGAGCAGGCAATATTGGCTACAGGAGAGGGAAACTGGCAGAGGAACAGCCTGAAAAAATGTCCAGTGCAAGCTTCTTCACATGTGGGCAACAGAGGGAGCTGCAGGGCCTCAAATTCACCTTCCTAGGACAAGGTATGTCAGTAGGCTTGCCATTAGTATTGTGCAGTACTGCTTCTGCAAATTTTATAGTATCTCACTATGTCCATAATACTGCTATTTATATAATGAAGGAAGCTCCATTAGTATTCCATTGTAGCACGGGTGTCAAACACAAGGACCGCGGGCCGAATCTGGCCCGCCAGACCTCGTCATGTGGCCCGTGTAGCCACCGCCGGCCGCCAGCCTTCACCTTTTATTCTCGCTTTTTTTTTTTTTTTGACATGAGAAAGCCGCCTCTTCAGCGCATGCGCGGCAGCCTACAAGCCAGAGAACGTCTGTCCTCTAGTGGCGCCAGCCGTTCTACACAGGAAACCCCCACTTTACATGCATTCAGGAAACCTCCACTTGTTTTTATATTGAGCGCATGCCATCCTGTGATGTGATAATTGTACATTTGAATATCTACTTGCCATTATTCTGACTATGTTTCTGCTTTCAGAGCTAGTTATTACTTACATTATTACAAAAAACAGTAATAATTGAATGCAGTGACAATAATTTATGATAATAGTGGACACATAGTCCTACAGATACAACCGGCCCTTTGAGGGTGACCAAACTGCTGATGCGGCCCCCGATGAATTTGAGTTTGACACCCCTGCATTATAGTGTTGGGAGTAGTCCACAGAGCAGATACCCATATCGCCCTATGGGGTGATATAGCACAGAGCCAGAAGCATCACTGAGAGCAGAAATTTTTCAGTGCTGCCTAACTGCTAAGCCTTAGCAATGCTAAGGGTCAAAGCATACATGGTGTTAGAAATGTGGTTTAATCTCGCTTGTATCATTGTTGCTTTTTTAAAATAAAAAACCCTCTATGATTCTGCTTTACGGCTTTAAAAATGAGTTGGGCCCTGAAACCAACACAGAAACCAGTGGAGATATCCGAACACAGCTGTACAATGCCCAGAGTAGCAAGTCCACTTAACAAACTGACCACTACATTCTAGACCAGCTGTAATTTCAAAAACCTCTTTTAGAAACAGCCCTGCATTATTATTTTTTAATTAAGAGAGGATAATACTCCTGGGCATTGCATTATAGGGCTGAGGAACAGATTACTGAAATAAATATTATTGTCTGCATCACCCAAAAAAGCTCTGGAGCCAACAGAGATTTGACAGCCTTGTTAATGCTTAACTCTAGTTAATGCACGGAGGGGTTAAGACCATGGAGTAAGCTGCCCTGCCAGGCTTAGCTGGATCACATCCCCTCACCTTGGGAATAAGGGTTACCAAACTCTTTTCTCTCACCCTCCACCATGTGAACCTGACCAGTAAGGATGTCTAAGCTGGGTGGCTTTAGCAAGCCATATTTGTGTTTCTATACAGATAATTTAGAAACTCTTACCATTTTTGAAACTAAGTTCTACTGCCCATCTTTTAGAATCATAGAATCATAGACTTGGAAGAGACCAAAAGGGCCATCGAGTCCAACCCCCTGCCAAGCAGGAAACACCATCAGAGCACTCCTGACATATGGTTGTCAAGCCTCTGCTTAAAGACCTCCAAAGAAGGAGACTCCACCACACTCCTTGGCAGCAAATTCCACTGTCAAACAGCTCTTACTGTCAGGAAGTTCTTCCTAATGTTTAGGTGGAATCTTCTTTCTTGTAGTTTGGATCCATTGCTCCGTGTCCGCTTCTCTGGAGCAGCAGAAAACAACCTTTCTCCCTCCTCTATGTGACATCCTTTTATATATTTGAACATGGCTATCATATCACCCCTTAACCTCCTCTTCTCCAGGCTAAACATGCCCAGCTCCCTTAGCCGTTCCTCATAAGGCATTTTCTTGCTGCTTTATGGAAAAGCACATGAATCTAACCTTTGAAGAGTTTGTAAGTAAACTATTTTTAACTTGCCAAATGTATTGTCTCTTTGCTAAGGGAAGGGGGGGACTTTGGAAGGGGTTTAGAAGGGGAGATCTTAAAGGTCTAACACCAACATTTCCATACTTTACTTTGCTGCATGTTTTGCTATTTTAAATCTCTGCCAAGCTTCTCTCACGAAAGAGTACTTGCCCCAAACCTGGATCTAGGCATCCAGGGAATTCGCCTTTCAGTTCTTTAACCACATCATTAAAAGCCAACAATCCCATCACCTCTCTCCACTGCTCCTCACTTAAGTTACCTGTCAGTGTCTTTGTGATTGTCCTCTTGCTCTGCTGGCTCCCCTTCATAGCCCAGATGTAGATGACATACTCCATGCCTGGCTTCAGTCCAGTCAAGGTGGTGCTGGTCTTATCCTTCCCAACTGTGATCTCTCTGGTGTCTCCATCAGCAGAGGTGTAGCTAAGTATGTATCGGTCTATAGGAGCCAATGCCTTATTCCAAGAGATAGTGGCTGTGTTCTCTGTTGCTTGGTCTGCTTTCAGGTTTGTAGGGCCATCTATCTCTATGAACCAAAATGGAGGTATTATTATTGTTTTCTTTCTATATCAGTTATAACCTTCTTGAGACTTTGTTTTGCAACTGTAAGTCATTTGTTATATTGATCTGTGGGACTTTACTTTGCCATGGCTAGACAGGCAAGTAGATTTTTACTCAGAAGTAAAATGTCATGCATACGTGCATCTTGATGCATAAGAATTTGAATTAACTAATGTGAGGGAGCGGGGCAGAATCTGGGAAGGTGGAATTAGCCATTGATAATGCAACGCGGGTGGTGCTTGGGGTGCGGGTGGCGCTGTGGATTAAATCACAGAGCCTAGGACTTGCCAATCAGAAGGTCGGCTGTTCGAATCCCCATGACGGGGTGAACTCCCGTTGCTCGGTCCCTGCTCCTGCCAACCTGGCAGTTCGAAAGCACGTCAAAGTGCAAGTAGGTAAATAGGTACCGCTCTGGCGGGAAGGTAAATGGCATTTCCGTGCGCTGCTCTGGTTCGCCAGAAGCGGCTTAGTCATGCTGGCCACATGACCCGGAAGCTGTACACCGCCTCCCTCGGCCAATAAAGCGAGATGAGCGCCGCAACCCCAGAGTCAGCCACGACTGGACCTAATGGTCAGGGGTCCCTTTACCTTTACTAATGCAGCTAAATTACTTAACAGAATGCTTGTCCGTCAAGGAAAAGGCAGGAACACTCTCCTTCTAGCTCAGATCAGTTAGCACAGCTGGACTGGAAGCATTCACAGAGATCAGGTAGTATCATATATGACCCTTTCTGGCCTAGGGTAGTCAAGAAATTCCTCAATGGTCTGGCAGTAATTCCTTCTGTTGGCCTGAGCTTGGCAATGAATCTCCATTTGGCACGCTTTTAGACCTAAGTTCAGAAGCTTGTCTTCACAAAGTGAAAAACTCTCAACTCCTTCCATCAATGACTTACAATGTAAGTGCTCATCCTCCCCCATGAACTGATCCTAAAATTTTATAACATTTAACAAGGGCTACATACTGTATGAAAATAAGAAACAAAATACAGGCAGAAAGGAACACAGCACAAAACTTCATAATATCACATCTCTGGGTTACCTGTTTCAGCTGTTATGCTTGCCTTCTTGCTCTGTTGGGTTCCCTTCACAGCCCAGATATAGATGGTATACTCCATGCCTGGATGTAAACCCACCAGGGTAGTGGTTTTCTTGTCCTTCCCCACAGAGATCTCTTTGGTGTCACCATCAGCTGAGGTGTAGCTCACCACATATCTATCTATTGGAGCCTGGGCCCCATTCCAAGAAATGGTAGCTGTGTCTTCTGTTACTTGGTTGGTTACCAGATCAGTTGGGCCATCAATATCTGTGAAAGGAATAAGGACTTTTAGTCATGGCAGTGATCCTGACAAGATTTCTGTAAATCTCTAGGAGCCATTTCTTCGAGGCAAACCAACTCAAAGCATTTTGATGCACAAGGGAAATCAATGGTAGTCGTGTCAAAGCACCTCCTGGAGCTTGATCAGGAGACCTTTCCAGTGATCAGTTCTGTCTGTCTCCAGCTCAGTCAATCCACCAGTCAATCATTTAATAGGGAAGCTTTTAATGTTTGGTGGATTACTGTATTTTAATGTTTTGTTGGAAGCCGCCCAGAGTGGCTGGGGAAGCCCAGTCAGATGGGTGGGGTATAAATAATATATTATTGTTATTATTATTATTATTATTATTATTATTATTATTAAACAATTTACCACCAAAGGTTGCTCCTTCACCTTATTTCATAGCAGAAGCATCTTCTGCATTTGATTTCAAACACTTATCAGCACCTGTCTATATTATGAACCCTTTCAGAGTTTGACAGTAGCCCCCTCCAGGCATTCTACTTGCATGCAGAAGCAACATGTGAGCAAGGAGACAAGTGTAAGAAGCTCCTCCACCACTCCGCTGGCATCATGACTGTCACACTCCACAGGTTGGAGAGCAAAGTTCTGAAGTGGGGAGCTCCCGTACTGGGGAGATTCTCTGGGTGGTTTGGTGTAAGGGAAGGTCAAGGGTCTAAATTGTGCAGGGAGCCGCCATAAGCACAGGAGGCTCCCTTCCATGCTGCAGAGGCTAAAGAGGACAGCAAGTGGGCATGTTTGAAGGTTAATGCACTCATTCCTGATCTCATCTTGCTTTTACATGCAGGCAGAATGTCCAAACAGGGCTAATATGACTCACAGAGACCTTACACCATGGTCAACCATCCAAGCAACCTTTAAGAATGAAATACTTCACACTTTTTCATACTTTTAAAAATAAAGATGTTAAAACCGAAGAGTTGCACAGTGGTGCTAGAGTAAGACTTCCCACACTCCCATCCGTTTGAAGGACTGTGATGATCCTGAGTTTGAATGATAAGATTAGAGCCATTTTATAATGCTCAGATTCTATTCCAGGAGGCAGCAAAATCACCCTGGCTGCATTCACACTGCTGTTTGCTGTGCTCTCACTGCATTTCCTGAGCTGGGTTTCTAATCCGTGCTCACATGACTTTACCAAAATGTGTGTGTATCTTTTACTTTGCTCTAAAATACTGCTGTTTGAGTTGTCATTTCTCAAACCAACTTCATACCAACTAGAGTCCTTAAGCCGTTCCTGATTCATCTCTAGCCAAGGTGTGAACACCTTTGCATAGGGTAAAGACATCCCTGGTTTAAACACTAACAGAGATGGATCTGACACTAATGAAGCCATGCTGATGTGAACAGCTAGGTGGGAAAAGAGCAGGTGGGAAAACACATTGGTGGGGGGCAACTTCACTGCTGTCCATCACTCTGGGTTCATCCGCACTTACCTTTTCTCCACTCTTTCCAGGCATGGTTTGAGATTTAAAGCTATGAGCTTTCCCCACGAAAACCTACTCTAAATTCAATCCTTTAAAACTCCAAATTGATGTTTGCTCCAATTAAGCGGCAAAGAGTGGGTTAACGCAGGGCCTTGTTACCCAAACAGCATGGGAGTCTCTTTTCTGTGAGTGGCTCCCATGTGGCTGGGAGAAAATGATCTAATCACATGGGCAGGGAATGATGGAATGAAATCTTTCCCAAAAATGGGTGCCCAAAATCCTCCCAGCAGGCTGCCAATTCTCTTGTTATGATCTGTGCAATCTGTGCCTGTCCACGTGGTTGCGTTGTGCACATGGGTAATTCTGTGCAATTCTTGCAAAGCAACTTCTGGAACTTTAATTGTGTGTGGCAGCTTTTTCCTGCCACCACTCATTGCTATATAGGGTGCGTAGCTTCGGTGTAGCAGAACAGTTTGTAACAGAAAATGTGCACTCTTTCTGGAGCTTGAAGAGCAGCCCACATGGATCCAAACAGCTCTTGCTTTTACAACCAAACCACTGGACAGTTTGTATTTTTGGCAATATAGACCAAACAGTTGGCTTGATATATTTTGCCTTTCAGATTCCCTTCCCAGTTTCTAGGAACTACTTTGCTGTAGCTACAAAGGAAGAAATGGTGCTTCTCATGTCCAGCCCAGAGCACAACATGTTCAAATCAAAACTGTTAAAATGGACACATCATCTGCAAAATCAGGACATTCCACAGCAATGATTTACTGCCCAAGAGGAAGCAGAATTTCAGTGCTCTAGTCTGACTTCCTCCCACTGGCAAGAAAATTCTGAAGACAGCAGGAGTAAACAAAAACACTGATCCAAAGTCAAACCCAAGGCTGCCAACTATAGGCATCTGGTGCAGGCAACATCTGGTGCCGCGGGGTCTGCCCTCCTTTGAGAAGAAACAGTGGTCTGGTAATTCCATTGATGAATCCTTACATTTCCAGTAGCAGAGGGAGGGCTGTTAATTCATGGCCTCTTCACAAATCAGAGCAAACATCAATCTGGAGAATTGCTGTTTGCTCCAATTGAGAGCTTAAGAGTGGTTTTCCCTGGGGGAAAGCAGTGGGACAAGGGGAAGTGTGGATGCGCCCATGCTGAGATGTTGCAAACCCTTCTGAACCCAAGCTCTGGGCAAATGACTAAACTCTGTCTACAATTAACACAGAGAGGAGAACTGGGATTGCAGCGGCAGGCACCAGCCCCAGCCACCATACATTGGTCTATTGTCTTGAACACAGAACCTCTGTGTGTACAAGCTGCATGGTGCGCACAGACACTGTCCTTGGCAGTGGAAGAGACTATGCACAGAAGCTTTGTGCAGAATAGCCAAACAACATGGAGGGGCTTGAAGTGGTGCCGGGGGTGAGATCCCACTCTCCCTGCCCATTCATGTCCTGATTGTACACAGATTTTAGTTAACTGTGAAGAGAGACATCTGGAGAGAGTAATTGGGACACTTTGGAAGGCTCAAAGGATCACACTGTATGAGCGATTGCTACGGCAATTGTGACAACTAGTAGCAGCTGTGCTTGTGGAATGATGTCGCCGAAGCCCTAGATTTATACCTGTCCAGCCGTTCACAGAGGACGGCTTCCCTTCCATCTCATCCTTCATAGATATGACGGTGATCACATACTGGGTTCCTGGCTTCAGGCCTATAAAGAGAACAAGAGGTAAATTCTTCTGAGACACAGCTGCATCTTTGATTTCTCTCCATATTCCATACTAGATGTGTTTCAAAGGCTTTCCTTTGTTGCATGTAGGATTTGTCTAGCCTGATCTGAGGGGAAGGGGAAAACCGCATCTCTCCTGTTCACAGTGAAACCCATCCCAGAGGACGGAGGCTTTGGTCTGCATGTGGGAAGATCAGCCTTGAGACTCAGCCGCAGGGCTTCCCCTCTGAAATCCCCTAATGGTTGTTCTTTGCAACACTTGTGTCACCAGATGGAGGGGAAACGTATTTGTTTCAAAAGGCATTTATTTGCTGGAGGCCTGCAGCTTGTTGGCTCTGTGTTGTCCTGTTTTCAGTTGGTTTTATCCATCGAAGTACTTACTATTCAGACAGATCCATTGAAATTAGTGGACCTAAATAAGGCGTGCCCATTAATTTCAGGGGGTCTACTCTGATCATGGCTAACGCTGGATACAGATGACACTGGGCTGGGTTTTTATTTTTAAAATGTTGCATAACACTTTTGTAGCTCATAAATGAAGCAAAAAAAAAAAGTTAATGTTTGGAATGCTCTGTCCCACGAGACTAGGGCCCTGCAGGATTTGACTTCCTTCCACAGGGCCTGTAAGACAGAGCTATTCTGCCTGGCCTTCAATTTGAATTAGCCTGATCCTCTACTCCCTTTTCCCTTTTCTTTTTTATGAAGAAACCCTTCTGGGACCCCACATTTAAACTCTTCCCTGGTCTCCTGCTGGCCCTAGTAGGACCAGCTTGGCCAGTTAGCCCTGGAGATCATTTGATGTGTACTAACTGGGGGTTTTTTCCTTAAAATGACCCCTGAATTTTTGAATTTTATTGACGTTGATGCTGCATTTATGTTGTATTTTATGCTGTTTTTAAGTCGTATTTTAATCAATGCTTTATATTTGCTGTTAGCTGCCCTGAGCCCGGTTTTTAAACCAGGAAGGGCGGGGTATAAATAAAAAAATATTATTATTATTAAATGCACATAAATCAGAACTCTGTAAAAACCGCTTAGAAACCATGTTCAATACAGATGCCTAGGCCTATATAAGCATTTTATTATTATTATTTTATGCCAGGGGCAGGTAACCTATGGCCCTTCATGTGTTGCTGAGAAGAAGAAGAAGAAGAAGAGTTTGGATTTGATATCCCGCTTTATCACTACCCTAACATTTTCCTTTCCCTGCCTCCCCCACAACAAACACCCTGTGAGTTGAGTGGGGCTGCGAGACTTCAGAGAAGTGTGACTGGCCCAAGGTCACCCAGCAACTGCAGGTGGAGGAGCGGGGAATCGAACCCTGTTCACCAGATTACGAGTCCACCACTCTGAACCACTACACCACACTGGCTCTGAGCTACAGCTTCCATCACCCCTGACCTCCGGCCAGGCTGGCTGGATCTTGTGAGAGCTGGAGCCCAACAACATCTAGAGACCCCTATTCCCCTTATAGAGCTGCATTTCTCAAAGTGGTTTAACACTGAATCCCTCTACCCAAGGAACTCTGGGAAATGTAGCTCTCTGAGGGGAATAGGGGTCTCTCTTAACAAAATTACAATTCCCGTGATTCTTGCAGGGAAGCCGTGACTGGTTGGTGGTATGGTAATGCTTTCAAAGTATAGTGCAGATGGGGCCTAAATAAACAACCAAATGTCAGTTCTCTTTCCAGTTAACAGTGAGAAAAATGAACAGATCTTCTCCATTGACCTCATTCCTGATCGTAAGAAACTGACCACATTACCACTTACCTGTGATAACATATCTGCTCTTGGCATCACTGCTTTTAGGGACCAGCACCTCCTTCTCCTCCCCTGGCCGGAGCAAAGAGCTGATCCTCAGCTTGTAATAATCCACCTCTGTTGAAGGATTCTCCCACTCCACTTCCAGGGAATTATCTGTCTCTTCTGTCACCCATATAGCACCAATGGCAGAGACCTCTAGAAAAGAGAGAATAATCGAAAGCAAAGCTGAAACAGCACATCAATCCCCTTGCTCTCTAAGGAATAATTATAACAGAACTTTGGATGTAATGCACTTGCTTAGATGAAAGGCAGATAGGGAAAGGGAGGGGGAATTTGGGCCAGCAGTTTCCCCATTAACTCCTAAGAACACAAGAGCCCTGCTGGATCCAGCTGGATGCCTTTGGGAAGTCCGCAAACAGGACTTGAGTGCCACAGAACTCTTCCACACTTGGGCTTCCCCTCAGCTGGCATTCAGAGAGATGCATGGCCTTCAACGGTGAGGTGAAACTGTAGCCGCCGTCTGCCAGCCTTATCCACCATGAATTTCCCTAAACTCTATTTAAAGCCATCTATGGTATTTGCTGCTATGTCTTGTGGTAGCAGATTCCATAATTTAACCATTATGCACTGTGTGAATATGTACTTTCTCTGGACTGTCGTGAATCTTCCAACATTCATCTGCATTGGATACTCCTGGGTTCTTGTATTATGAAAGAGGAAGAAAAACTTCTCACTCTCAACTTTCACTGTGTTGTGCATGGTTTTATGCACTTCCGTCATAGTATCAGGTCAGACATTATACCAAAACTATGGTTTGAGTTTAAACATGCATAACGAGCAAGCCACTGTTTGGTGCAATGGTTTTCCAATTTAGACATCGTACCAAATAGTAATGAGCACAAATCATGGTTGGTAAACTGACTTCAAACCATAGTTTTCAGCTGTAGCTTGTCAGCTAATCGACAATCATAATGTGTAAATTTCAACACCGCATCAAAACCATAGCAATCTTTAAGCAAAGTTGGAGTCATGCCTGAATTGAAGCGCTTTTTCAAAGTTTTCCCTTTGCAATCTGCTGGTGTGAACCAAGCACCACATAATTTAGGACTGCTTTTAGTGTTCTTACCTGTGCTGGCTTGCAGGAGTTCTGGGTCACTGGCAATCCCCTTCTTTACATTGCGGAGAGTAATAATATACTTTGTGCCAGGAAGAAGACCCAGAATCTCATAGGTGGTTTGATCTTTGGACACTCGCACTTGCTTCACAGAGGCTTCATACCCAACAGGAAAGTAGCTGATGAGATAACCATCCACATCCACCACCTGATCCCAGCCAATGGCCAGGGAATCTTCTGTGGTCTTGAGGACTCGTGCATTCTGGGGAGCTAGCACTGGAGGGGGAGACGAGGGCATCATCATTCAAATGGATGAAATAGTGAGTTCAACAAGAGTATATTCCCCAGTGCTGTAGACTGTCACTGTATTACATTCATTAATAGGAACAGTGTGCCAAGTTGGCTTTGTGAGTCAGAAGGTGAAATGAGGGTTTGCAGTCTAGTAAAATCTAGCAACACTATCAGTTTTTCCACATCCTCATGCAAAAATAGATAAAATGTGGGAGATCAATAATTGGATCTCCCAGTGTTTTCATTTTCTATTAGCAAATTACGGAGGTTATATCGATTTTTCAAAATGCAGACACACACAAAGAAGAAAATGCAAGGTAAGCCAGAAGCCAGTAATGTGTGTGTGATCATCCGTGTGCATTACTACATCCCTGTGGTTTAGTTCATGGTGCTATAGGCTGGAGCGTTGACAACACAACCTTAACTTTACATGCTTTTGTATTGCCAGCCCACTTGGTTAAATGTCTTGGCCACCAACTCCATAATTTTGTAAATGGCACCGTAATTTAAAGTCACAATAAAGCAGTAGTCAACGTCATTGCTTTGAAGCTTTTGCAGTATGAATGCAGAGCTGTGACCACAACTTAAGTTCTGCTGTTATGACTACAGCTGAAGACAGCAAAAAAATCAGTCTCGAAACATCTCTTGGTGGTTGATACTGAAGCAATTACCAACAAATCACACATACAGTATGTGTATATTGTAAACACATTACTGTTCCTGGCTTTCTGCCATTCTCTCATCTCATCAAGCCAAGCCTGGCATTGCAAGAACAGGCAGATGATCAAGATGCTACTTTTAACCGTTTTACAGTCTGGCTAAAGCTCCTAGTTTGCACACACAAAATAGTGCCTAAAATGTAATATATTTTCCTTATTCCTGGTGATAAATTAATGGTTATTCTGTGGCATGGGGAATTTCAAATGTTATCTACAATGGCAATAAATTAACACATTTGGCACAAAACACAATTGCTCAGGTAATGATCATGACATCAAGTAGAATGATAAATAATTTTAATTTGCATTCATGGGTGAGATTTTCCCTTGAAACAAATTGGGTTTCTTATTTCCCCTTTTCATTACTGCCAGTTAAATGTTAGCATTGCCTAAACTTACAAATTCCTCAGTCACTGTTTGCAGTTATAGTGTTCATGCAAAGAGGAGACTGCCCGTTCCTCAGTTCATGTTACAGGTACCGTATTTTTTGCACCATAACACTCACTTTTTTCCTCCTAAAAAGTAAGGGGAAATATCTGTGCGTGTTATGGAGGGAATGCCTACGGGTGGCATGCCTACGGATTTTCCTCCTCTAAAAACTATGTGTGTGTTGTGGTCGGGTGCGTGTTATAGAACGAAAAATACGGTAGGTTTTACAAGTTTGGACAAAGCATCGTTCCCAACCTTTAAAGGAACGTGCAGAAGCTTTGAATGCAGTGAAGCAAGAAGTGGAGACAATGCAAAGAGAGTTGTTTTCATAGATGAACAGGATGGAGGAGGAAAGAAAAAAAATAGTTTGGGGCCAAACTTGGATTTGTGTCACTGAATCCTTTTAAAACGGAGGTGAGGAGGGTTTAAAAGGCAGCAGGCAGGGCAGGGTAGCTGAACTACACTGCTTCTGCCCCAAAACTGTTTATTATAGCCACTCTGAGACAGATTGGAACCACATTTGAGTGAAAAATAACCAAAAACGGTTTGTAATGACAACACATGAGTTCAGCTCTTCCTCCCCTGCTGCTGCCCAGCCATGCAGCACTTTTAATCACCTTCCTCACATCTCTGCAATTGAGACCCATGGCCATGGTATCTAGTTGTGCTCTCGTGTCTCCTGTCTGAGCCTCCCCTCTTTGTTGCCCAGCACAGAGCAGGTTGTTCTTGGTTGACCCAACTGGTGCAATACTGAGTTAAGGACAGGGAGGACAACACCAAAGGTTAGGCGGAGGGGCAGATGATCCAGAGAAAGGGGCCACTGATTTGCATGGGTCTTGTGTCACCTGTGAGGTGGGGGAGAGGCTGGGCAGTCCAAGGTGGGAGGAAAGGAGGGGGGAGCTGCAGGGGAGCACACAGGTGAAAGAGATGGTCCCAGAGAATCTCCTCTGTCCCTTCACCCAGTGTCTCCAAGGACAAGGAGGGAGCAGCTGAAGATGCCGTGCAGGAGAAGTCCCAGGGTGCTTGAGTGTACCATGTCAGAATTGGGGGTTTACGTGGGCTGGAGGAGGCATGGCGCACAGTTTCTCCAACTGCTGGGACCAGAGCACAGGTCTGAAGAAGGAGGTGCTCAGCTAGTTCCTTTAGCAGGAGCAGTGCATGTGATTCTTGCACCTTGGGAGCTGATTATAATTGAGTGCTTTGCCAATAAAGAAATAAACTTCCAATTGTGTGTCTGCCTCTGGGGAGGGGGGATGAGTTTGCTCAGGACAGACTGCAACCTTAGGCTTGCTACTTAGGCCACTTCTACCAGTTCGGCAATTAGTGCCTGTACCAACAACCTGGGCATCACCAACAACATATCAAATATAGCAGACCATCCAATGGCCTCTAAGCTGTGTCCAGTATGATTAAACCAGAAATGATCCAAGTCATAATTCCAATTATTTGGTCTCCACCTACTTCTCAGAACACCAAGGACCTATGGGACTTCAGTTATGTCCTATGTCCTCTGACATATCTGTGTCTAATGGTTGGAAACAAGCAACTCATCTCTCAGACCCCACATTAACAAGAGTCTTGGTTCTTGTCTCTAATACCAGTGGAGGCTCTTGTGCTAGAGCAATAGGGGCACATATCTGTCAAAGAGGTAAAAGGTAAAGGGACCCCTGACCATTAGGTCCAGTCGTGGCCGACTCTGGGGTTGCGGCACTCATCTCGCTTTATTGGCCAAGGGAGCCGGCATACAGCTTCCAGCTCATGTGGCCAGCATGACTAAGCCACTTCTGGCAAACCAGAGCAGCGCACTGAAACACCGTTTACCTTACCGTCAGAGCGGTACACATTTATCTACTTGCACTTTGACATGCTTTCGAACTGCTAGGTTGGCAGAAGCAGGGACCGAGCAACAGGAGCTCACCCCGTTGCGGGGATTCGAACCGCCGACCTTCTGATCGGCAAGTCCTAGGCTCTGTGGTTTAACCCACAGCGCCACCCGCATCCCTCTGTCAAAGCGAATAGCAAGCGAATATATATCCCCCCCCCACTCTCAAAGCTGCACGCTCTTTCCTGCCCCCCATACATTTTATACGATACTTCCATTTGAATTTAGAGGGGCTCCTGGAGGCATTTCTGTCAATCTCCTGTTCTCTGGCTAATCAGCTCTCTGCATCACTCAGCCCACCCCAATCCAAAAATATTGCTAAGGCAAAGAGATCCTTGTTGCTTTATTAATTTACTGCTCTTAATGAGGAGTCTTGATTTCTGTGTTTCTGGTTTATCTCTCTCTTCATTCCACACACACCAATCTTACAAAAAATATTCCTCATATTAATATGGAATTAATGAAAAGTAAGATGCATAACTGGTAAGCAGTCAGCCTAGAACATAATAGGATCTCTACAAAGTGTTGTGCCTAACCAAGGCTGTTCATAGTATGTACATTAAAGTTAATTTTTATTAACATAAAACAAATTAATCCAGCACCAAAAGCCAATTCCACACTGTGCACAACATGAATTTTTCATATCAATGTGCAACGTATGCTGTGAACATTTTCCATCACTTATCCTGAATTGCCAAATCTGGGTTTTGCTTCATTTTGTAAGAAGTGGTGAGTGGGACCCACAACAAAAACGTTGCTGCCCTGTGCAGAGCTTCAGTTCAGGATCCAAGTCTCTCCTTTCCATTTCCCCTCCAATGGTAAACCATCATCCCACTGAACATGCCCAGTCATATGCCTGGTTTGGGGGAAAGGGTTCCCCTTAACTGGGGGGGGGGGTGTTTGTAATGTTTTACATATTTCGTCAAACCTTCAGGTTCCCCCAAGCCTGCTTCATATGCATGGATGGCTATATCAAAACCAGCCCTTGGAGAATGGAATTCACTGTTCCTAATGGATTGTGATGGTGCGCTTCCAATCATCTTCCTATCACGGCATCACAACGCAACAGAGCTTTGCAGATATGGGGTGTCTCGATTCTTAAAGGCTCCCACTAAATCAGGGGTAGACAAGGCTTACCGGGAATGGGTCAGATCACTCCCGTGGAGATACTCCGCGGGCCGGGCCGGCACAGCATGATGCTGGGAATCACGTCTGTACATGTCCACGGCGCCAGAAACCGCTTCTGCGCATGCTCAGACACCGAAAATCGTGCCTGCGCGGAAGCAATTTTCTGTGTCTGGGCATGCGCAAAAGCGATTTCTGGTGCTGCGGACATGCACAGATGCAATTTCTGGCATCTGGGCATGCACAGAAGCTTTTCCGGAGCCACGGAAGAGAGGCGCCATGCTGCACTGTGCCGGTTTAGCGCAGTGCGTGGGGACTCGCCAAGAGGGCGGCTTGGTTCAGGGGCGGCTTCTGGGCCAGTTAAACGGCATCCGTGGGCCGCTTCCAGCCCATGGGCCTTAGGCTGCCAACCACTGCACTAAATTATATGATAAAAAGTGATCTGCTACCTCTCCCTTCTTATGTGCCTCCATCCAAAAAAGCGTGTGTGTCTTACCTTTAGAGCAGTCAAGCCCAATGAAGCCATCCTCACAGTAACACTCGCCAGTATCACAATATCCATTCCCACTGCAGTCGTTGGGGCACCTCTTCTCACTGCAGTCCTCACCAATGAACTCCTTGTAGCAGTGACATACGCCATTCACACAGAGCCCATTTCCACTGCAATTCTCAGGACACAGGAGCCGGCTGCAATCCTCGCCAGCATAACGTGCATTGCAGATGCATCGGCCACCAACACAGCGCCCGTTACCATTGCAGTTTCCTGGGCAGGTAGGGCGGGAGCAGTCCTGGCCTTCCCAGCCTTCATCACAGTTGCAGGCACAAATCTCTTGGATGAAAACTCCATGGCCGCTGCAGGATGAAACTTCTGCCCAACATGAGAGATAGAACCACAAGAAGCAATAAGGGAGACAAAAGAGCCAAAACTAGAAAGACAACGAACACGAAAAGCATCCTAGTAAGAGCACAACCATGGAGTTACCAATTGCTATATGCTGGTGGCACTGTGGTCTAAACCACAGAGCCTAGGGCTTCCTGATCAGAAGGTCGGCGGTTTGAATCCCTGCGACGGGGTGAGCTCCCGTTGCTCAGTCCCAGCTCCTGCCAACCTAGCAGTTCAAAAGCACGTCAAAGTGCAAGTAGATAAATAGGTACCACTCCAGCAGGAAGGTAAATGGCATTTCCATGCGCTGCTCTGGTTCGCCAGAAGTGGCTTAGTCATGCTGGCCACATGACCCAGAAGCTGTGTGCGGACAAACGTCAGCTCCCTCGGCCAGTAAAGCGAGATGAGCGCTGCAACCCCAGAGTCGTCCGCGACTGGACCTAATGGTCAGGGGTCCCTTTACCTTTACCTTACTTGTGAGGATTTCCCCCTTTATATCAGGGCCTGTGTTGGGTATAGTACCCTGAAAGAGAAATCCTGTGTATTTTGTACACTTTGAGGGAAGTTAAAAGTGCATGGCAGACGCTATACCATTAAAGCCCACTGTTCCAGTACAAAAACTGTGCCGCAGTAAGCTGAATCCATCCGACACACATATGAGAGTTCAACAAGTCTTTTGACTTTACTGCTTGCCTGAGGCTGCAAAAACATGGAGTGGGGGGAGATTGTCAACCACCCAAAAGGCCACATAAACATAACTAGTGGGCTGCATTTGACTTAGCCAGTCACAAGTTGTGCTCATCACACATGGTTCTTACCTTGGGCTCTGCCACAGCACCTCTGAGGAGCACAGATGCCCCTCAGATGTCGCACTTCCAACTCTATCTTCTCCAGCCTTTCCAACAAAGCCTTGAGCTGGCCTAGGAGTTCACAGTCACCTTTGGGAGTCTGCAGCCGAATGTTGTGCCTGAATATAATATTTTGCTCCTCGCCCTCCTGCATTTCACCAGTCGACAGCAGTGTGTGACTGTCATCTTGGAGGGGACGTGGGTCTGGATCCACTTTGATCTGAGAGGACTTGGGCACGTCAATCTTGTATGAGTGACTGAAGGAGATCTGACTTTTGCCAGAGCAGTTTTCCGGTTGAGTCGGCAGCTGTGCCAGAGCTCCCTGGAGAGGGCAGTGCAGCAGAACCCCCAGAAGGAAATTCCAAAAGATCATCTTGTTTCTGTTAATACTACGAAATGAGTAAGGCTAATTTGGAAAGAGCAAAAGTAGCGTTATTATGAAAGCAAATACTCCAGGAAAGGTATCATCCAGACAGCCCTTTTCTGGGAATTCACGGTCTGACAGCTGATCTACACATGGAGTAAAGTCATGCAACATAGCTTTTCCTGGACAGTCCAGCCCTGCAGACAGTTGAACTCTCATTGGCACATAGGTTGAAGGCTATCCTAACTAAACCCCTTCCTTGACAAACCATATTACTACATGTGTGGAGCAATTTTTGGGTTAGAGTTTCCCTCTTACCATCTGATGAGATGCATTCAGCTGCTTCAGATGAACAATGTTCCAAAAGGACATTGTGGGCCAGTTACCAAGTGGCGATTAAATGCTACTTTAAATTTAGAGCTTTGTACAACTATCCATAATTTGATTTCGCTATAGTCATTATGCCAGTAAAGACTTTTCAACTTATTTCTAGTTAACCAGAGAACTACAAGGAATAAATTAATTTTAAAAGGTTCTCAGGTCAGGAGCCCAAAAGTACCTCCCAACCAAAGAGGCTGCCCAGTGTATTGTGTGTCTTATAGCACACTCCTATGAATCCTTATTTCCTAGTGCCTATGTTAAGAATTAGGGATGCGGCTGGTGCTGTGGGTTAAACCACAGAGCCTAGGACTTGCCGATCAGAAGGCCGGTGGTTCGAATCCCCGTGACGGGGTGAACTCCCATTGCTCGGTCCCTGCTCCTGCCAACCTAGCAGTTCGAAAGCACATCAAAGTGCAAGTAGATAAATAGGTAAATACCTCCTGTGGGAAGGTAAACGGTGTTTCTGGTTCACCAAAAGCGGCTTAGTCATGCTGGCCACATGACCTGGAAGCTGTACACCGGCTTCCTCGGCCAATAAAGCGAGATGAGTGCCACAACCCCAGAGTCGGTCACGACTGAACCTAATGGTCAGGGGTCCCTTTACCTTTATGTTAAGAATTACAGCTGCACTAGTCTGAATTTGCCTCCTTTAGATCACGAAACACACCCTGAATGCAATCTTAAGCAAAAAACATAAGATGTGAGCTACTTTTAGGTTGGTTAATTCTGCCAAATCTTGGCATCAGAAAAAATTATTTACACGTCAGAATGCTTAAAACTCCATTTTATTGTTTATATTACTGACTAGCAAAAAATATGTTTCTTGAGCACATGACTCAAGGTCATATTTTGTGTTCGTTTACTGGATCTTGTCAAACCGCAGTTAAATTGTGTGATATTTTCATAAACTTATCCTGATAGCTGTCCTAATTCACTTCTGAAATGGTGGTCTCAATGTTGTCTGAAATGTATTTAAACTTTTATTTTGTCTTTTTGCGATTATGTCGAGTGTTATTTTATTTGCTATAAAATATGAATAAAACAATTTAAAACACAAACACAAGTAATGTGTCGTGTGAGTTGAGGAAGGTGGAATAAAATTTGCAAGTAAACTCTGGTAGAAACAAACAAAACCTGCGTGACAATATTGTTTCTACCTCTTATCAAAATCATTCAAACCAGACATTATCTTTTGTTCGTGTACACACCATAACTTTAAAACAACCACCCCAAAAAGAAGAATGAGAACTGTAGTTTTTAAGGGTGCTGGCAACTGTAGCTGTGTGAGAAGCAAACTACAGTTCCCAGGATTCTTTACACAGATATGTGCTTTAAATGTGTGGTGTGCACACAGACTTTGCGTAAAATTGCAAGCCATTTGAATTCTATATACAATATTGCAAGAATTCTAGCACAGTTTTGGTGGATTGTGACCTGCATCATTATCCAAAAAAAACCATCTTCATTTGGATGTGTTTTGCACAGAACATCAAGCACATCCTTCAACCGGGCACCTTTTGCATTTAGTTAAATTAACTAATTCATTTCATTTAATTGCTATTTAAAATTTGTGACATGCTTTAAATTAGCTAATTATTTTAATTACTAATTAAATTTTGTGACATGCTTTACTCTTATGAGCTCTGAAATTAAACGTTATTGAGGCACAGAAGTGAACTGTGCCTAAATAAAAGAGACGCAATCAGACATTTGAGCAGACAGGTACCAAATGAAAAGTCAGTTTATGCACTGGGTCCATTTTGCCTCTACGTGGGCTGTCATTCACGCACTACAGTGGCCTCCAAGGTCTCAGGTAGATTTATGGGGCCTACCAATGAGAGCTGATCAAGACAGGACAACAGCCTGAACAGATCAGTTGGTTAGGACATGGTGCCAAGGCTGCAGCTTCAATCCCCGCATGGGAAGGTTGCATGTTCCTGCATTTCAGAGGGTTGGACTAGATGACCCTCAGGGTCCCTTCCAACTCTACAGTTCTATGATTCTATGAACACTAGACCTACCATGCAAGTCTTCCCAATCACATATAAAATGCAGACTAGGGGATCCACATTTAAGAGTATACGGGGTGCACAGATAAGGGCTTCTAAACCCTCCCCCACCCTGCTTACCTCCGCACATCCTTCTCCCCACCAGACAACTGTTAGTATCAAAGCCCAGCAGAGGGGAAAGTGATGTCTGTTTCCTGCGGTTGTGGCTTCACTACATGCAGGTGCGCTTGTAAGAATGAATAACAAACCACCAGCTGCAGGAAATTCTCACTTTCCAGTTAAGAGTTGCTTAGAAAAATGAATGTAATATTAACTTCTTCTAATGCACTGCTACCACTGTCGAAGCATGAACAGAAGGTAGTCACATCTAGGAATAGATTTTTTTGAAGCAGACAAATCCAAAACAAATAAGAACACACCCCAGATAACTGCAAAACAAATAGCATTATGAAATGCTGGCAATATTCTAATGTCCACTTCTTTTCAAAGTTATAAGTCCTCTGACCTTTGAAGCACTCTATGACTTGGAACCCCTATAGCTAAAGGACTGTCTTTCGCCCATATGAACCTGTCATCTGTGGCCCTTCTGCGTGTCACCACCGAGGGGGGTGGAGAGGCTGGCAACTCTTTTCTGTAGGCATTCCCCACCTGTGAAATTCGCCCCCCAGGGAGGACCACCTGGAGCCAGCCTTCCCACCCTTTCATCAACAACTTCCTTTTCCTGGGTGTCTGAGCAGCACCAATGACTGAATGTTTTCCCTCTATGTATGTTTTTAATATGTTTGTGTATCTTTATTACTGCATTTTATTCTTGTTGACAATCATTCTGGCACTTCTTATTATGGAAGCAAGTCACTGATTCAATATGAAAATTGTAACCGAACAGGAGTTCCAGTGTTGAACAGTAGGATTAAATATCTCCTTCCCTCCCTCCCTCCCTCCCCCCCGCCCCAATTTTAACATACTATTCTGCTGAAACAGCCATTCTCCAAAGCCTGCGGTTAGTCTGGCCACCTGTCATGCAAGGGACATCTCTGCTATTTCATTTTCCAAACTTTCCCCCCTCTTACCAAAATGCCACAGAAATTAGCTATCTCTGCAAGTGCTCCAGTCCCTGGCATTCTCAGGCAAATCATCAAATGAAGATTGCGTCAAAGCTTTCAACTAAAGTAGCATTTAAGTTCCCCCAAACTGTCACCATAAACCTCAGGAAGGATTGTCCAAAATGTTGTTTTGCAGTATTTGTGTTAAAAAACTGCCAGACCAAAAAGAGGCATTAAAAAAAGCGCAACACATTTCTGCAGCTCTCTCCTGGATGCCGTTCTCAGCCATAAAGGTGACTCTGCTTGTAATTAAACTCTATCCAGGGGCCACAAATTGATTCCAGGTTGGCTGAGTTGGCCAGTCCCTCAGAGTAAAGCCCCAGGACGCAGCTCTTTTAAACAGCATAATAAGAAGCTTTGTTTATTCCTGGAGGCAGAACATCCAATAATTTCCTATTTTTAAGAGGCACAGGAAGAAGGATGGCCCATTGCATAACGATCTCAATGAATCACTGGCTATAGCTTGAGGAACAGAGGTGAAAGTAAAAGCAAAGGAAAATACTGCACTGAATTATAGCAGGAAAGAATTCCCTAACAAGAAGATCTATTAAGGTTCTTCCAGACCCCGCAATAAGTTAGCTCGGCAGTGGTGTATTACTAGCCAACACAAATAGTATTACTGTTGATATTACTGTTTGTTGGCCCTCATCCAGCCCATCACTGAGTCCAGGCACCAGCCCAGGGCTTGACCACCCGCTCCTGATTCCGATGTTACAGAGGAAAAGAACTGTAATGTGCATTAATGCAATGCACTGTGTAAACTATCTTAGAAACCTACATCTGAAAGACAGTAAGGTAAAGGGACCCCTGACCGTTAGGTCCAGGCGCGGATGACTCTGGGGTTGCGGCGCTCATCTCACTCTATAGGCTGAGGGAGCCGATGTACATGTGGCCAACATGACTAAGCCGCTTCTGGCGAACCAGAGCAGCGCACGGAAATGCTTTATTTATTTTATTTATTTAGATGTGTATATTTTGAAAGACAGTATACACATCTAAATAAATAGTCAGGGGCCTTTTAATTTAGGAAAAGGAAAAGGATGACTAGAGGGCGGGCATGAGGAACTAAGGGAGAACCTAGGCACATCTAAATATATTCATTGGTAGCGGGTCTTTGATACACCAAAGAAATAAGTTCTTGAATCCACTACCACAGAAAGTGGTGATGGCCTCTCGTTTTGAAGAGAAATTATACATATTAATGAGAGGCTGTCTGTTAGGTATGATAGCTACATGAAACATCCATGATCAGATGTTGCAGAAAGTTTTTTGCAGGAGGTGGAAGGACAGTGGGAGGAGGCAATTGACATCCAAGCCCTACTTGCGGGCTTTCCAGAGGCATATCTTTGATGGCCACTATCAAAGTACGATGGTGGACTAAAAATCCACTGGTTTTGATCCCAATGGAGCTCTTCTCCTATGTTTATTGATTACTCTGTAAACCATTCCCCTCCCCTCTGTTTCTGATGTTCAGGCTGCAAATGCCAATTGCTTCTAGGGCCAAAATAACACCACC